AATCCTTAGACTTTTCTAACAATTCCCTGGGCTCCATTTGTCAAGAAACACAAACCACTAGAGGACTTAAGCTTGATATATAGTAGCTGTAGCTGATTTTTTTTAGTAACACTGAACTAGAGTTCTTGAGAATACTTTAACTCCTTCAAAACGTACTGTCTTAATCCTGAATAACATACAACAAGTTTCTGAACATAACCACAGAAATGGCTGTATGACACTTAATAAGCTGAGGAAACAAATTTACTTTTCATCGCACTGATATCTGCAGGCAGGTTCTTGAGTTGATTACAAGCCAAGTTGAGTCGCACTAAGTTAATGAGCAAAGCAAAACTTGTTGGAATGTCTGTAAGATGATTGTTGGACAGATCCTGAAGATTAAATAAAAAGAGAGAAAAAGAGGTTACAAAGAGAGATGTTTAAAGTATCCCATGAGTACTGCTACTGTAAAGTTAATTACTGGCAGAACATTAAAATTAGTTTGCTGACATCTTCAGGATCTCCCTGGTAGAAATGTGAATGGCTGAGACAAGTCTCCCAGGACTGACATATCATATGGGATTTGATTTTTCTTAAAATATTTGGAAAACCCAAAGTAAAGCTTGGTTTCAAGCAAACACACAAAAACATAATAGCTGATAAGCTACATAAATGACTGGAATATTCATAAGGTTCTGCAATGTAAGACTTTTTTTTTGTGATTTACATTTGCAGTAGCAAAACATGGATAAATTGACATTTCTGAGCAAATAAATATTTTTCAAAAAGTTGTAATTTACCAATTCTTCTAAACTGACAAGCTGTCCAAACCCATCCGGCAAGTCGCTCAGCTCGTTGTGCTGAAGAAGAAGGCTCTTCAAGTGCGACAACTGCATCAACTCTTCCGGGATACTTTTCAGTTTGTTATGGCTGGTATTAAAATGTGGAAAACAAAGGGAAATAACAATCACTAAGTAGTTTTAAGAACATAACTGCACCAAAAAACTTCTGTTACACATGATGCCATCCAAACTAGGGTTACAACCCTAATACCTACAGGGCTGTCCTAGCCACCACAACCCCTTGAAATGCAAACTCTTCAGGCCCGCGAGCAAGTATCAAGCATTTCCAGCATGCACCTGAAATTCTGATATTGGCACAGACTAACTGTTCATTACAGCTGCAGTGAGACAGGCTGCTGCGAAACATTTTCAGAGTGCAGCTTGCATATGCATGCTGTTGAGGACACCATCACCTTTAAGAAAAATCACTCTTACAGCTGTTATAGCCCTCTGCAATGGATTGGTTTCCTAGGAGGAATTATGTCTGGTTATTTGTTCAAGTTTTAATCCTCATCTGAATTTACAATATTCCAGATGGATCTATTTTTTTTAATGCAGTTCACACACACAAAAGGAACATACCCAGTGTCTCCTCGTGCACAAACTTACATAGTTACTCCTGGTAACTGAAGAATGTGAATTTATGAAGAGGATAAATGAGGTTTATAGTTATTTCCAATGTACATTATTCATGAAAAAAAAAAAAAAGCATTTTTAATCCTTTAAAACAAAATTGCCAGACTGAAGCAAATGAATCTTGATACTGCTTTTGTGTGATTATTCAAAACACCAGCTTTCAGCTTCCAAGAGAGACTGTGACTTCTAAGTATTAGTCAAAATAATTGTAACAAACCTAATTATTTTTTTGACCTGAAACCTATGATTCTCAGTATATTGTCTATTTAAAAACCAAAAGTTAACTTTTCTGCAACAAAACTTATTATACTACAATCTCTTATTCACACCTTGGAAACCAATGCTCTAGTTTTGTAACGTGCTTACCTGACATCGAGTTTCTGAAGATTTTCTAATTGTCCTAATGCAGATGGAAGAAATGTCAGCTGATTATCATGTACCTGGAAAATAGAGTTTTTAGAAGAGTTACTAATTTGTACCTTGTAGGTTTTCTTCCCCAACATCAAAAGACAAAAAAAATTAAAAAAAAAACTAATACAAAGAATAGTTTTGTCCAGTAGTAGCAGCTGTGTATATGACTTGATACGTTTACCAATAACAGCACTGCAACTGCCAATCTGTCAAAGTTCTACTTAATTGATAGTAAGCAGTGAGAAATTAAAGTATTTAATATGAAGAAGGGGGAAGCATATGAAAGGTGGCTGCATCCAATACCAGATCTTCTTTCAGTGCCCATATTAAAATTTCCTAGATCTTTCTACAGAACAATGCCGACTACCAGTGTATTAACTGATGTATCAGCAGGGTGGTATGCAACAAACCTTTATCCTGAGAACACACCAATGGCACTTCTACACATCCACCTCCATAGGAAACAGAAAACAAGGGCCTAAGACTATCCTGTCCCACCTCCTACAGAGAGAGCACATAGCAGGATCATTGTACGTACATCTAGCACAGTGAGTGCAGGCAGAAGCTTGACGTCCTCTGAAAGAAGCTGCAGCTTGTTTGAGGCTAAAATCAGCTTGGTCAGGTCTGTCTGCTCCCACCAGCGATCCGCGGCACCGAAAGAGAGATTCTGATGGGCTTCCTCCGGAGTGTCCAAATTTATCCGCCACACATGCTGAGGCACTACAAGCACAAACACACACGGGTCAGCTAAATACACCTGCTACTCACCCTGAAATTTCCCCATTCTGAGTGCTTTCCGTACGCACACAATTACACTTCTGGAGATTTCTCCAGAGCTGACAACTGGACGTGGCTGGAGGCGGCAGCAACGAGGGCAGGAGGGCAGGGAGCGCTCCTTATGGCCGCTGTACCCCTTGTAGATCTTTCTGCCCGCCCTTAGCGCTGTATTTTGGAAGCCCCCGGCCCTCCCGGGGCTGCAGCCGCAGCCCCCCGGCTCCCCCGCCCGCGCTCACCCTGGCCAAGGCCGCGGCCCGCGAGGTTGAGCTGCCCGCTCTTGCGGGCGGCCCGGAGCAGCCCCTGAGGCACGGCGGGGCCCGGCTCCTCCGCCGCCCGCCCGAAGCCGGAGCGGGGCTGCCCCGGCCGCGCCCTCCGCGCCGCCGCCGCCATCCCGAGCCTCGGCCGCCGGCACCGCCCCGCAGGGTGGCGGAGCCCGGCCCGGCCCGGCCCAGCGCCCGCCCCGGGCTCAGGGAGGCAGCAGCGGGCGGCACGGCCCCGGCCTCAGCCCCAGCGCCATTTGGTGCCGCGCCAAAAAGGCCTGGGGCTGGGAAGGGAGCGGGTACAAAGCCGGGTATGTGGGGAGGGAAAACAGGCCGGGAGCTGTGTGCTGGCAGCAGAACGGAGGGTACAAAATTCCTACAAAAGGAGATGGAGAAACAAGCCAGCTGCAGCTGGACGCTGTGTGGCTCAGATTTCACTTCCTTCCTCTCCCCCTTTTTATTTAAGGTCTTCACCTCTGTCGCAGGAGTGAATGCAGACCAAATAACCTGGAAAGCGCTGTAAATATACATGTCAAGTAGCTACACAAAAAGGCACTTTTACTTCAACTTGTTTCCTTGTCACCCAGTGTTGGCAAACTAAGTGAAAATACTCCAGGAGTTGGAGTTGATGATCCTTATGGGTCCCTTCCAACTCGGGATATTCAGTGATTCTGTGACTCCCACCTGATTAGTGCTGGCTGCCCACCAACACCTGCCATTGCTGGTGACCAGCCCTGGCTTCGGCTCCTGGGTGCAGTTGGTGTCTGACCCAGCCGGCAGAGCCTCTAAGAAGCAAATAAAGAAACACGCTTCTCCCTCAGTCATTAAAAACTTACAGCCATTTGAGTTTTCAAGCACCTGGCGTTCCAAACACAACCTTTTCACTTTTATTTTTTTAATCTACAATCTAAGTCCCATTGAATGTAGAAGTAGTTCGTTAAGGGCTAAATAGCACCGTGGTGAGCGGGTCGCTGATTCGAGCCCCCACCATACGTTGTGCTCTGGGCTGTGACCAAGGACTTGGCCCTTTTGGTTTTAACCCCTTTTCAGTTCTCATTTTTCCTCTCACACTGGGAGTCACCGGGCACCACCCCATAGGAAAACTCTGGATATTTCAACCCGGCCTTTATATAAAGCGCTGGCACCTGCCAGTTGTGTGTGAGGCGCTCAGGTTAAACTTGGAGGCAGACACCTGCAAGCGTGGGGGTGAAGCAAGCCGAGGTGGCTCCCCCAGAAGCCGTGACAGGGGCTGGGAGGGGCGGCGTTCCCGCACCGATTAACGCTACAAACACCTTGATGCACGTTAACGTTCACATTGGAACGGGCTGCCCAGGGAGGTGATGGAGCCACCATCCCTGGAGGTCTTTAAAAGACGTTTAGATGTAGAGCTCAGGGATATGGTTTAGTGGGGACTGTTAGTGTTAGGTTAGAGGTTGGACTCGATGGTCTTGAGGTCTCTTCCAACCTAGAAATTCTGTGATTCTGTGATTATTTTACAACCACCTTTGGTCCCTCAGGAACCAACCGAGCACTGCGCATGCGCCACACCCGCGGCGCGCACGCACTGAGGCGCCGCAGCCTCCCCCCCCCCCAGCCCCACTGCGCAGGCGCCGCCCCCCCCTCCCGCGCGTCCCCGGCCGAAGGCGGGAGGGGGCGCGCGCGCACGCGCAGTGGCAGCAGCGGCGGCGGCGGCGGCGGCGGCTCGGTGCGGGCCGCGGGGCTGCGTGCGGCGGCGGGGCGCGCGCGCGCTGCGCCTGCGCGGTGGGCGGCGGCGGGGGATTGTGGGATACTGCGGCCCGGCGGGCGGGTGAGTGAGGCGCCGCGCGGCGCGGTGGGGGCGGCGGGGGCCGGGAGCGGCCCTGACGGGGCCCGGCCGGGCGGGGGGGGCCGCTGAGGGCTTCCCGGAGCCGCCCGGAGCTGGAGGAGCCGCCCGGCCCTCGGCCGCTGACCCCCCTCTCCCCGTGTGTTCGCAGCGGCGGCGCGATGGCCTCCAGCAGCGGCACCGACGTGATCCAGGTGACCAACGTGTCCCCCAGCGCCAGCTCCGAGCAGATGCGGACGCTCTTCGGCTTCCTGGGAAAGATCGAGGAGCTGCGCCTCTTCCCCCCGGAGTGAGTCGGCCCGGCCGCCTCCCCTCCCCCCCTCCCGGCACGCCTCCCGCCGCCATGGCGCCCGGCACGGCTCGGCACGGCCCCGAGCCGCGGGTGTGGGGCCTGGGGGGGCCTTCGCGGCCTCTTTCCCGGCGGAGCCGCCCGTGCTGGGCAGGCAGCGGGGCTGCAGGAGGCTGCTGGGGGCCTGGTCCCCAGCTGGTGTTAAGGACAGCAGCGTGGTTCCCTGGTAAAAGTTGTGCACAAAGCGGGCGGCTGGGGGCTGATCCACAAGCCTGATTGGTGCCATTTTCAGGGAAAAAGGCATCGCAGTGTGAGTTTTTTTATCACTCAGCCTTCAATCGCTGCTAGCCCAAAGCCAGGGGTGCTTGTCCGTCCCGCCAGCCGGTCACAGATCACGCTGAGGATCGGTTTTCTGGGGCTCCGTGCAGTTCCTTTGAGTTGGCCAGCGGTGACTTCATGTCGGGAATTAGGCGCGGAAGGAAGGGGGATGTGTTCGTAGCTGGGTGTGGGACACTGCCAGGCCTGAGCGCTGCTGTGCGAGGGCCGGGACAGCCGTACTGCAGCGGCACAGCAGCGGTGCTCAGCAGCCAACCGAGTGAACTGCATTAAAAAAAAAATGCGGTTATTTGAGGTGCTGCTCGATACTTTAATGTTTTGTCCAGGTTTCAAGAGAGGTTACTATAGGTGAGCTCTGCTTCTGAAACTTTGTACTGTTTTAGATACACATTAACTAAGGTGTCAGAAGATGGCTTCTGTGGTTTCAGAATGAAGTGTTCTGAGGGGGGGAAAAAAAAAGCTCATCCCAGCAGCTCTCTTTTTGGCACAGCTGAGGCTGGCTGTGTGTTCATGAGTTACCTCCTCTGCACCAGTGTGCTGTGAAGTGGTGGCCCCGCGAGACCTGGCTCAGAAGCCTGTGAGGGGTGTGTTGTAGGGCTGGGCTGTGAGGTGGGACAGCTGGCTCTGGAGAGTCTGAATTGAATCCTGGTGTCTGTAGTGTCTGATACTAGTTGGGTACGAGGGGATACCTGTGTTCAAAGGAAACTTTTTGGATTGTGTCCCGGTGTACGTTTGTTTCCACCAGGCTGGGCTGCACTTGCCTGCTGCCTTCTGCCTCCTTTGTTCTGGCATTGGGGGTTTTGTGGTTTCAGCTGGGCTGCTTGATTTCTACAGAAGATCAGTGAGCCGCCTGCCTTTACTCAGTGCCCCTGAGGGCTCGCTGCTGACCAAGGGAAAGGCAGCACGATGCAAATAACTCCAGTGACCCAGATTCCAAGTATCACACAGCAGAAGACTAAAAATCAGTGAAAACATTTGGCCTACATTTCTTAGGTTTCAACTCTGTAAATGAAAGAGGAAGGCAGTGCTTCGCCGTGGAGGGATGTCGGGAAGGGTCCTGAGTATTTATGAAACAGGCAGAGCCATAGAAGAGATGAACGCAGGAGAGGAAATGCATCGTAGCTAAATGGGTCTGGCACAGAGATGGAGAAAATATTGAAGAGCTGCGGGAGTGAGCTTTATTGTGTCTTTGCTGCAGAGTGTAGGGCTTGGTAGAAAAACAGCACGTGTGCAAATTGTGAGTGCATTTAAATTAGCCAAATGTTGTGCTCTTGATGAAAATGAGAACTCGGGGGTTTTTGGGCTGGGGTTAAATTTCTAATTTGACTATTTAAAGTTTTTTTTCCCGCTGTTCCCTTTGTGCGGCTGTCCCGGCAGAGATGCTGAGGGCTCTGCCTGGCACCTCGGGACCCGCCGCGGGTCTCCGCTGGGGTGCGCAGGGATCGGTCGCGGCAGGTCCCTGCCGGGCTGCAGCGCCAGGGGGCAGTGCTTTGCTCCGCCGCCACACGGTGCTGCCAGGGGAGGGATGCTCTGAGGGCTTCAGCTTCACTTCACCCTGGAGAGAGGTTTACTTCCTAGCAGCAGCAGGTTCTTTCGTCTCTTTGAGTGCTTTCCAGTTCCTCCTCCTGACTTCTCCCTGCTGTTGGCATTCACCCATTTTTTGGGGGTAAAGGACAAATTAAATGTGTAATTTCTCTCCCTAATCTGACTCTCTCTCTATCCCAGATTGTACCGGGGTTCTTTCTTACACACGCTGTTCCCGGGCACCCGTTTCATTGCTCTCCTCCTCAGCTGATCTCTCTCCTGTCACTTTGATCCTGCTGTCCCCGGTAGAAGTTTGTTATCATCGTGGGCTTCCAGAACAGACACTTCCTTAACTTCTCTCCATTTCTCCTTCTCTGCCATCGTCCATCTCCATTCTAGTTTATTTAATCAGCTGTTACAGGCTTTACATGCTCCTCAGCTTCATGTTGCAGCTGTAATCCACAGCAGGCTCCGTAACTTCTCCTCCTTGTAAAGGAGGGTTTCACCCCTGCTGCTGCTGCTTTTTCCCAACTCCATGACAGGCAGCACTGAAAAGTGGAGGGGATGGACTTTGGAGAGGGCTTGAAAAAAAAAAAAAAACAGATACATCCACACACACACTTACATGTTAAAAAAGCTAATTTCAGTACATCCTGTTTAGCCTAAGAAAAGTGACTTTACATCAAAGCTTGAGTACAAAAGGATTTACTGGCAGAACTGCTACCGGTGTTACAGACACCAGTGTATTTTCTGGCCCTGCTCATGTGCAGGAACGGTCCAGTCAAATTGTTATGGATGGAGAAATTTACCAAGAAAAAAACACATTGGATGGAAAACTAACATCTACAGTGCCAAAGCTTAATAAAATTAGGAATGTACATTTTAATGATTTGATAAGCTGGATGACAGTAATTGCAAGATCTTTTCCCTCCTCTGCAATAACTGAAGTGACAGCTAGACGGAGGCGCTCCGCAGAATCCTGGCTTTGCCTGCAGTTGCCACTGGGAGTTGGGTGCTCAGTGAGAAAAGGATGACAACTTGGGCTTCAAAGTGAAGAGCATGGCTGGGTATTTTTACTCTGTTTCTTCCCACTCTGGTATGAATATGGTAATGCTGAAGAGCATCTCTTGCTTGCACAATCGTGTCACTCCAGCCTGCTTCTAGCTTCGTTTTACATGAGCAAGAAGCTTTATGTAAGCGGCAGGAGCGTACCTTCAGAAATCAGATTAATGTTTAAAATGCTGGCTGCGCTGTGTGGGAACGCTGCTTCTGTTTGGAGGCTGGGAGGTGAAGGTTGGAGTGCCCCGCTGCCCTGTTGTGTTTCAGAATCGGTGCAGTGTCGAGCTGCAGTAGGTCGTCGTGTGTCCCAGTGTTTGTCGTCCTGATGTTTGGGAGTTCCTGGTGTGTTGTCTCTCTGTTGGGTTGGAAGGGCCTTCCTTGGCCTCTGCTGTCAGTGTTCTGTTCACAGCCGCAGGTTGGATAGTTCTGGTTTTAATACTTCTAAAAGATAAAAGGCACTGGCTCCAAACTAGTTTTTAATGCCAGATGAGATGTAAAGTACCTATTTAAGGGTAACCTAATATTCGTTTAAGACAGCTGTTGAGTTTATGTAACTTGTTGGGCTGAGCCTGTGCCGGGTGGTGAAGGTTAGGTAGTGTTTTGGCATTCACACTGACAAGAACTTGTAGTAGATGTTGTTCTTGTTTGGTATCAAAGTCATTCTCCTTTCTCCTAAATTCTGACAGGTTCTCTCTCAGGTGATTAAAGACTTGATCGGTTTGCTTCAACTTAGATGAAACAGTTTGGCAGTGGGATGCACTTCAAGAAACTACTACTGTACCTGTACCTGCTTGGTAAAGGCAGGTGATTGTCATGAGGAGTTGTTCAGCATTGCTCAGACCTAGCTCTTCGGAATAATTTGTGTCTGATACTTCAGGGCAGAGCTGAAGGGTGGCTGTATCTGGCCCTGGTTAGAAGCTGGGCTTTGAGGGACTTGCTACTGCTTGCTGCATCTGCTCTGGGTCTTCTGCAGGCATCTCTTAGCTCATCTGCAGCACAGTTGTCTGTGTAACATTTTCTTTTGCTTTCTTGTGGTTGATACCTCCGGCTAAAGGAAAATCTGCACGGTTTCCTGGCTATATGGTCACTCAAAACTTGTGTGGTCTCTTGGATTTTCCATGCCCGAGGATTTTTCCGCAGCTCTGCTGACAGGCACCTGTGTGAGCTGTGGAGTAGGCAGGGACCCGTCTTACAGAGGATTTTATGGTTACTGGTGGGTTGTTCAGAAAGTTTTCACCTGTTAGTGAGATTTCAGCTGTAGTTTTGCCTACATGAATTTCCTGCGTTTTTGGGTTTAGTGCTGTTACTGCTGAGTAGTAGGCATATATTTAGCAGTGCACAGCCCTTCAAAATGAGCTTGGCAGATCTGTGCGTGAGTGTTTGGCTAAGGGAAGTATAATGGAGGTTGGCTTAGAAGCTTTCCTGGAATTGTGTTAATAGGGAAAATCGTAATGGCATTTTGCATCGTTATCCTCTTCACAGTGTACTGCAAAAACCTAACGTGGGGGCTAACGCAGAGAGTATAAAACTGCTGTTCTTGTCAACTTCTGTCGTATATGAAGTAAGATAATCTTATTTCTCTTGAGTACTTCATAGCCTTCCTTTCCCACAGATAGGTCACAAAAACTAATTTGCATGTAGGTGACTGGGCAGAGATGCATCCTGCGTACTAGAATTCATTTCCAATTACAGAAGAGGCAATGAAACTGTTCCTGTGATTTTATGGGAAAGTAGCTTCATCCAGCTGTATTTTTTTACACAGTCCGTATGACTTTCTAGCTTGCTGGAACGGGAGAGACCGTGTTAGTTACAAGTCTCGTAATGGCAGACAAGTTTCCATTTAACTAATTTCTTTTTCCTTCTTTTTCAGTGATTCTCCTTTGCCTGTTTCATCGCGTGTCTGTTTTGTAAAGTTCCATGATCCTGACTCGGCAGTTGTGGCCCAGCATCTGACAAACACTGTATTCGTTGACAGAGCGTTGATAGTCGTACCCTATGCAGAAGGTTTGTGAATTGTTTAATGGCCTATGAAGCCAACATATGATGGCATTTCGTTTCAGTATAGTTCACAAAAATGAGGATTAGTTAAATGTCGAATATACGAGAGATTAACTTTTTGAAACCCTTGGTATATTGCAATTTGCCCATGGATTAAGTAGTTTTTTGTTGTTTAGCAACACTGAATGAAACTGGGGAGTTTAACTCTTACTGGGTTTGTGTGCCTTCAGTTTAGAATACGAACAGTTTAGGCAGAATCACTTGCAAATTATGCCCTTTATCAATTTCAGTGAGATGTTTTCCTAAATGAACTTATGCAAACAGGTCAACATTTTAAGGAAATTTTGCCATAAGTGTTTGCTTTTATCACCTATGATAAATCTCTTTATGGGAACGGTTCCTCCCACCCTGAGAGGACATGGGAGAGTAGATGAACGTTTTGGGAGATGCTGCCACTGCGTTTAGTTGGGAGCTTCCCTGGAAAGCCATTCACTCTCATTGTGAACTCCAATATACCAAGGGTTTGAATAATTATGGTTTAATTGGGAAGTGAGATCTTCCAAGAGGTGCCAAATGGGCACTGGTGCTAGTTTTTATTCCAAGTTTTCTTGTTCAGCCTTGCTATATTTGATAGAATTTCACTAAATAATAAACTCTTCTCTCTGTTATTTGTGTGTGTGATTTTTGTAGTGGAGAAGGCAAATGCAAAGCCCTTCCAGATGACTGAAAAACAGTGGGTCCTCTGCAGCTACAGGGGATTCTAGACATTAACTAAAGGCCAGCAAGCACTCAAGTCCCCAAGTGTTTTCCTGGTGTAACCACTTGTTAACTACATTTTCTCTTCTTCTTTTTATTTTTACATTTTAGGGTGTTACAGTAATTTGAAAGGCAATGAGCAGGGTTTTTGGAACTTAAAAGCAAAGTGCTGAGAAGACACCTCTTCTTGCAGAAGTCTTATTAAACTCTTCTAGACTTGCTTTAGAAGTAATTGATTTCCATTGTACTGTTTCTTGATTTACTTCTGAAATAATGGATTTTCCCAAATTGCTTGAATTAAATACAACCTCTGCAGATTAAGTCATGCTACAATAATAAATTTGGTACACGGCCTGGGTTCAGACCTTTTGCCAAGACATAATGCTATAGAATGTCTTTTGAGGCCTGGGGAGCTGTCTTATCTTTGTATTCCTGCAATTTAAAAGATACGAAAACTTAATTTATGGGCTGTAGGAATCTGCAGCATGACCTTTGACTGAGACTTGCTGCTTTTTGCTAGTACAGAACCCGTTCTGAAATTGCTGTTGAGTTATTGCCTCTGCTTTCGCTAGTTAGGTATAACAGCAGTTGAAAGACATCTCATTCTCCTCTTTATATTAAAGCATGATAAAGTAGCGGTCCACCTGAGCTTATACTGAAATACTCTCCAAGGCCTAAGGTGAAAAATGTTAGTGTTTAACTTTTCCAGTAAGGATAAAAACAACTTTCTCTTTGTCCGTCTGACTTGTCCATTGTGCTTGATGGTGGATAAATCTGGCACATAGAGAAATCTGCCCAGTAGTTTTGGTTTGGACTGGATAAAGAAAATAAAATACCCATTTATTGTATTTTAATGGGCCCGTTTAAGTCACGGGGTTCCTTATGGGCTGTTTCTTGTGGTGGTAAATCAGAATGATAATGGGTTTGGCATACTGTTGTGGCATATCACAAGAGATGTGTTCAGCCAATAAAGTTGTGCCCCCTGGTTTTGTAATCATATGCTTTTGTCCCTGTATTGGAGTATAGTTTTCCCTCCAAATACATACTGCCAGGCTCCCAAGTCAACAACTTACTGAAGCACGATACAGCAAAATTCTTAAAGCCACAGTGGAATTGCTCACGTGCTTAAAGTCAGGCATATGCTTAACTGGTGTGCTGAACTGGGCCCTTTTTGCTTTTGTTTTCTACTGTGATAATTCTGTATTAATATTGCCTGTCACTAAAGTGAATGTTTATTATCTGTTTAGTGCAGTACTTATCCCCTATATCACAAGTGCACTCCAATTGTAGCATACACAGACATTTTGGTGTTGGCTGTTGCTTTGTGTTATAGAACTATACACAAAGTCTACGGTAAGGTTTAGTATTAATTGTAATTTTCACTGTGATATTCCTAGATTTGGAAGGAACTCTAAGATTAAAGGTGGCTGGGGGGGGTATTTAGGTTCTTTGGTTAATGTTTGTTTCTTTTGTCTGTTTCTTTTTCTTTCATTTCTACACATTCATACAGTATTTCATGGTTCTAACAAAGCAGCAGTAAAAAAAACTCTTGAAGCATGAAAATTAACTGGTGAGGGGCCTCATTGCTTTTTTTTTTAAATTGTAGTTTATTTATTTCTAAATACTTTTTTAAAAAACAATTAGAGGATCAGATGCATGATTTTTTTTAATGAATGCAGATCTTCTATGAGGTGTCTCAAAATAAGTCTGAGGATTTGTATTTAGATGCCAGAAATGTTGTAGTTGCACTAATTTGAAATGTTTAGATATAATTTATAAATATCCTCTGAGACATAATTTTGCATGCAAAATTACCCCATAATCTTTCTGTAGGTATGTTAATATATTTATGCATTAATGCCCTTTATCTAAATGACCTTTTTCCCCCCCTCTCCCTCCATAACTTTTGGTATCTAAATTGATGACAGCTCAATGACACAAGCAAGATAACAGTGCTGTGTATTATACATTTGTTTATATTATCGGCACTCTCAGTATAGGTGGAAGGAACCATTACCTTTATTTAACAGTGGTTTTTCTTTTTTGTTGTTGTGTTTTACAGTTCTTTTCCCTGGTTCAGCCTGAACTATATACCAGGCCCTGCTGAAAATACCACCCAACAGTTTTCTTCTGCAGCTTATCCAGTTTCTCTTAAGTGCCCTGTACATATTGTATGTTTTATGATGAGATGCAGTTTCTTAATATGTATTACAGAAACACTACTGGTATTTGCAAATATATAGTAAAATTGTTTTATTGAACTCTCATTTTGGGGGCTTGGGCACATTAACAAATTAATCCATCTGTATAGGGCTTTTGCTGTTGGATAGAATAAAAAATACCTACATAAGTACTTGTTTCACAGTAGGACCCTTAAAATGATATGTGCAGAGCAGGCAGTAAAATAAGACACTTGTCTTAGTTGGCTGCAAGATTTGGGGCCGGAAGTTTCTTCTGAAATGGCAGTATGTAGCAGCATTCTTGGTACAATAAGCATGGCACATATTGGAACATAAGCATTTTACTGCACAGGTAAGGAATGTGCCACCATATACTGTACGTATGCACCTGCCCACCCACAGACACACACACACAGCGTGTATTTGAAGATCTGCAGACTTTCATTTTTATTTGACAAGTCAGCAAAAGCCCTACGCTTGATTCAACAAAATATATTTCCATACCTTCTCTTAAGTTTTACAAAATTTATATGGTAGGTGTAAAAGAAAACATAGTGAACTGTACCATATTATTAACCCCTAAATCAAACTTTTTTTGTCTTGTGTATCTTGATTTTTCTGTGTGCTTTATAGTGAAGCAGCCGACACGAGTCGTTGTTCATAAAACAGCTTTTGAAAGTTGAGAGCACACCCCTGGAGAACCGACTGTGCTTGCTTACGTTTGGTTCATGACTTAAAAATCGAGTACAGGTGATGAAATCTTGGCAGTGTTAACAAAAAAGTAGTGTGTATTGTGCTATTTTTTTGCTCTAGATACTTAACCATTTGTAGAGAAAAAGGAACAGTCAAATTTTCACACATTGAAGTTTCGTTCTGACAAAAAATTTAATGATAAATATTAATAGACATCAAGCTTTGTATTTTAGCCAACATAAGTACTTTCAACAAACTCAGGTGGTGTATCAGGGAGACATTTTCTGGGTGTATTTGTGTATTTTCTGCTATTGAAATAGAATGCGTTCTAATGCCAGGCTATTTCTCTGCAGGAGTTATTCCTGATGAGACTAAGGCTTTGTCTCTCTTGGCACCAGCTAATGCTGTGGCAGGTCTGCTGCCTGGGGGTGGACTCCTGCCTACTCCCAACCCACTTTCTCAGGTAGGCTTTCCAATTAAGACTGACATGAATGGAAACTATTAAATATATTTTTAGATGCTGATTTAATTATTTTGTTGTTGTTGTGTTTCTTTGATGGGGTGGGGGGGCAAATACACTGTGCTGATGCTGATTCATAGAATATCCTAGCTTGTATACCTTGATGGATAGTGTTACAGCTTTCTGATACAATTTGTGGCAAAGCAGTAATCAGGTGCTAGGTGGAATTCTTCTGTTTCCCTAATATGACACTTCTGGTGTTTCATGACCTCTGTGTTTGTATCTATTTGTTATCCCTCTTTCCTCCCTTGTACACTTACTGACAAATTGGGCAAGGAGTAGAGATCTTACAGATGGAAGTTTAAACTTGTGAAGTTTGAGAGAGTGATGTGCTGTGGGGAGAGAACTTCCATTAATACTCCAGCTTAAAGGGGGGAAAAATTGCAGTATGTATTTTCTCTATCTAACTACACAAAAATTCACATGGAAGTTGAGCAGTAAGAGTAGTACAGTATAGAAGAATTCTGTCAAAGAACATAGCTTACTACGAAAAAGAGAAAGTGCAAGAGTAAAATTAATAGGAGTTAGGCTTCGTGAATTCTGCACTTCTCAGATTAAATCTTCGGCTTGTGCTTAGGACTTCGTATAGCTTCTGTTACTTCCGATTGCATTGCAGATGTACTTGCCACTGTTCAGAAACTCCTTTTAACCTTATGTAGAGGGAAAAGGCTGAAGTATAATTTTGAAACCTGAAGGTTATGGAAGAAGCTTGTTGCAGACAGCCCAACAATAATTTCTCTGGCAGCTTTGTTGAATTGGTTGACAAATGACACTCAAAAGTGCCAGAGAAGACCAAACGGAAGAAGTGAGAAGTAATGGGAGGGAGAGCAAGACCTCACAGCAACTGTGAACCGTTCGATTAGTCTAAGATCATGAGTTTTTGAGCAGATCGGTTCCAGTCTGTGTTTTGGTCATCTTGCTTTAAATGGCCGAAAAATGCTGCTCTTTTATGAGGCTTCTAGATCCATGTCTTAAGGAATTCAGACCCGTTCCCCCAGAAGCTTTTTAAACTCTTTGCCATTTTAAACCAAATTATAGAAAAATAAAGAAACATATAAGTGTCTTTTAACATAAAATATGTTAATTTCAAATCCTGAACTGACTTAAATAGGAGGTAATTGGTTCAGAAACTTTTAATGAATTTTCATGGTAACTCTTGACAGAATTTCATTTTAAACTATTTCTTGGATGTATTGGAAGGTTTTACTTTTTTTTCCCCCCCTACCTGCTGGGATGCAGTGGAAACACTCGTTTTAGAGTATTTATAGAAAGTATTCTTACTGACCTTGCTATAAAGTTTTCTCTGGCTAGCTTCAAATCTCCATGCATGTAATGCTTGTAAACCTTGAATTATCAGCCTTTTATCAATTTTTAATATGGTTTTGACTAATTGCTGTCTTTGTTACAGATTGGTGCTGTTCCTTTAGCTGCTTTAGGAGCTCCTGCTCTTGATCCTGCCCTAGCTGCTCTTGGGCTTCCTGGAGCAAACTTAAACTCTCAGGTATGTCACACATTCTAAAATTGGCTTTATTGTCCCTAGCATGTCAATAGATGCGCTAAGATTCATGATGCTTTTAGTGTTCACCAGTGTATTAAATACCAACGTGAAGATCAGGAAGTACTGTATTTGGGTTTGAACGAGGGTGACATTGCTGGTAAGGTGCTGGTTGGACCAGATGGTCTTGGAGGTCTTTTCCGACCTTTATGATTCTGTGATTCTAAAACATCACCAAAGGCTTATATAAGAACCAAATACTGTACAGAGAGCATGTTCTGTGGATAAACATTGCATTAAATTATTAATGCTTCCTTAAGAAATCCTTCATTTAGCATTCTGTTTCTGCATGCCACACAAAACCAAATAATAGTGGCAATGAAATAAAAGAAGCAAAATAAACATTCGAATTGCAAATTAGAAAAACACACATTTGGAGTGATGAATCACTCTTTCTTTTTTTCTTTAGGCCTGTAGATTGTAAAGCTGTTTGGATTCAGCAAATCGCTGCCTCCATATAAATTAATTTATCGTGAACAAAACATTTTGCTTTGTTAATGTACCATTGGTTCGTGATGTTACCAGTAGTGATAATACATGGATTTTCCTAAGAGCTATAAAATACATTTTGTAATTAAATTTTTAGAGTAAAGGAGATTTTGCATATTTAGAAGTTGACATTGAAGACTTCCCATGGGCATGTGACTTAGTTCCCTAATGAGTTTGCTATTCTCTTGGAGTGACAGAGAAATAACTTGCAAATACCAGAACTATGTAGCAGTTTGCATTTTGAAGTGCCTTGGTACCACCCAGGAAAGGCTGTTTGGCTCCTTTGGGGAAAAAGAAGTACTTAAGCATCCATGAAATGTAGTGGTCAGACCTTCATCCCCACCCTTGCCCCCATCCACAAGTTTTAAAATAGAGTGGTGTATCTTTCTGTTGGTAACTTATTGGGGGGTTGTTTTTTGTCCTCGTCCCCCTCTGTTTTTCTTTCCATCTGTAGAGATTTTTGTATAGGTACTGCTGGGATTTTTGTATAGCCACTGCTGAGGGTGGGGATAATCTTAAGCACATGCATCTTCCTGCCATGCTTTTAACTTTTTTTTTTTTCCCCACAGTCTCTTGCGGCAGATCAGCTACTAAAACTTATGAGCACAGTGGATCCAAAGTAAGCTTCAGTATTTACAGATGTTTGTACAATACACTTAATCTTGGCAATTACATCTGTGATTCAATATCCAGTCTTTCGGAGAAATCTATTATCTTGGAAATCTGTTGTGGGTTCTATTTTCTGTAGTAAGGGGAAGAGGGGTAGGAAACTAAGATTATTCAACCTTGTATCTATGGAATAACACCAATCCATCCCTGGAATTTCATTGTGTTAAAGACAGAAATTTAGTTTCTTGTATGACATATTTGTTAGAGGGGCAAAACAAGCTATGGCCAAGAATATTCTAAAGTGAGCAACAGTTGTAAAAGACTAGAATAAGAATACATATGTTATGTTACAGCTGTCAGAAGGTAATAAAAGATAGCAGATCTACTTACTTTATAGAAGGAGCAAATAACAATAAACACATGTCTTTGCTAGTTTTTATTTAACTTTATAGAAAAGCAACAATTTTGTCCAAAACGTTATAACATGTGAAGAGCAAGTAGGGAAGCACTGTTCTTGTATTAAGTCAAAGCCATCTGATCTATAGCGGTGGATAAAGCTGGATGTGTTCTACCTTCAGTTTTAATTTTATTCCAGTATATTATTCTCTTTTAAATTGACATTTCTGTAAGTAGAGAACGTACAACTAATTGAACAAACTAGTTATCAAGGGTAATATATTAAATAATATCAGCCAGAGGTATGTTGGGTATGCCTGATTGTCTTTAAAACTACCATGTAGAGCAGAAGTTATGAAATTTAATTTTCATCACTGTTTGCGGGGTTCTCAGTATGGCTTACAGAGTGGAAACTGACTTTCTAGTGTGTAATGTATTGTTTCTTGTGGAGCTGCTCTTTCAGGTGATGAAAATTGAAATTGCATTATACAAAAATGTACTGAAAAGTGTCGTTAGAAACTTGCCTATGCAAGACAATGTGAACTCTCCTACTATTTAGAGCTTACTAGAATTCTAAAGCCATGTGTGCTAGTATTTTATACAACTGTTGTCACTACAGGCTTCATTCTGGACTTTTTCATCATAAACTTCTCTGTTATCTGAGTGATGACAAAACGCAGACAGGTTCTGGTTCACTTGGATCAGTCATTTTGGATAGGCTATAAACTGACAATGGAGGATTGTGGTTTTTGGATTCTGACGTACTGAATAGATAACATTCTGTTCTTCTATTCCAGGTTGAACCATGTAGCTGCAGGTCTTGTTTCGCCAAGTCTGAAATCAGATACCTCCAGTAAAGAAATAGAAGAAGCAATGAAAAGAGTACGAGAAGCACAGTCATTAATTTCTGCTGCTATAGAGCCAGGTAATTTTAAATCATGGAATTTTCAATTCAAGGTGTTTTTCCCACGTAGTGTATGGCAAAAAGTAATGGTCAGCACAATATTGGCTTAATGCTTTCATGATCTATGGTGACCGAATTGATAGTTCACAAGTGTTTAATTGTGCTACAGTGTTAATGCTGCAAGTGTCCAGCAGAATGATGCAGGGAATCTGTTTGTTTTCCAAAATTGACTTGATTTGAAGATAGCAAAATGCTTGAGCTTCTCCTGTTTGAAGCTCATATTGCCATCTCTGAGACTTCATTGGAAACAGCAAGAGACTTAACTTTGACATCCTTGATAAGTTTGTTCATGGCGATGTTTTCCTTTAATTCCTGAGCTGTAGAAGTTAGTAAATATTTTTCTATTTTGTAGTTTTCTAGTTTTAGATTACTAAAATAATGTTAGCATCTCTTTAACTATAGTTTTCCTTTCCAACTCCAGATAAAAAAGATGAAAAACGAAGGCATTCAAGGTCAAGATCACGCTCGAGGAGGAGGAGGACACCTTCTTCATCTAGACACAGGTAGTTACTGCATTTACTTAAAAACACACAAACAAAAAAACAGAACAATTTCTTCAGAATTACTGCTTCAAAGTGATGCTGGACTCATGGAGGCTGACAAAAAAAAAAAAAAAGAATGCAAATTTTCTAAAGAAACTACGACCATGGTTTGACTTGAATATAGTGTGAGATGAAGGCCTGTTCCTGTCTTTATAGGAAAGTTGAGAGGGTAATGCTAGCAAAAATATCTCAAAAATACCTTAAGCCACTGCAGCAAGAACTTCAGGAACAGTAAGAATGGGACATCTTCTGACAGGGCTTCCTTTTCTAGGAGTGTTTGGACTGTTATTTAATAACTTACAGTTTCTTGTTTCAGATAGGAAATGGCATAAAGCCTTGATTTTTACATAGGTCTTACTGCTATCAACACTTAAGCTACCATAGGCAGTCCATTTTGCACTAGTTCCTTAAACCTCTTTACTTTCTTCAATCTCTTTCCAGTGTGCCTATGTAATTATAATTTGTCTTAGAAGGAAGTACTGAGAAATTTCTGTGAGCATGATTATTGATGTACATTGAACGTTTATCTGTTGAGCTGCTTGTTTCTAGTATGCGCAGCAATTCAGCGTGGTGGAAGTTACCCAAGTCAAAAATCAAAACCTAGGTCTGTGTGGGTATCCTGACTAAAGATCTTAATACTGACCTACCTAAGCAAATGCATTGTTGGCTTGTCACCTCCAATTAAGCAGTCCATGCTAGCCATCTGTGCAAAGCCATTTTAACTATGACCCTCTCATTTGTAGTTCTTTGCTATTTGCATATTCTGTAATTGGCCCTTATTTGGTTTTAGCATTTTAAAATTCTTCTTCACATTTCAATGTGACTTGCCAGTTTTTCCTCTACTATAGGACTGTTATTTTTTCACAATGAGTGTAGTAAGAGAGCTGACTGAAGCATCATTTCTTCTTTCATGTCTAGCATTTGTGCACTCCCTTTTTTCTGTTTCCTCAAGTGGACTGAATGTGATGCCTTTGCTTGGTTTTCTGTACTCTTTATTCTGTTTTCTGTATCATTGCACTGCATTACTGTCAGTATTGAGATGATGAATTCTGAATAGTATATCAGCATTTCGTGTGTTTAAGTCACGTGTCCAATGTATTATTGGTAGACGGTCAAGAAGCAGATCAAGGAGAAGGTCCCATTCAAAATCGAGAAGCCGGAGGCGATCTAAAAGTCCAAGGCGAAGAAGGTCTCATTCCAGAGAGAGAAGCAGAAGATCTAGGAGCACATCCAAAACCAGGTAATCCTTCACTAAACTTACTGTATTTTCTAGAAATTAATTTAAATCCTGGTGTTTAATTAAAAAAAAAAAATCCGGGGAAAAATGAACAAACAGCTCTTTAATAGCAATCTCTTGTTGCATCTTTTTAGTTTGTCCTACACATGTGCAGTTAGTCATAAAACGAGGTAACGTGCTTTTCCTAGGAGTCAACAGTTGCAGCATGCATTAGCTGAATCATGCTTTAGCTATCGTTAGAAAACAGGAAATGCAGGTATCTAGACTTGAAGAGTTTGTGTTGTTCGTGCACAGTAGTTATAAAAGAGCTCTTCTTTTATTTCTCCATAAATGTCATCTTTCTTCTTTTCCATTAACATAATATAACTGGCCCAGAAATAAAAGAAATAATTATGCTATCCAATGTAACTGTCATGTCTTCATTCACTTTCTGATATAGCAGTAGTAGTGAATACATGAATAGTCTGAAAATGACTTAAAACGTGTATTTTACTAAAAGGGATAAAAAGAAAGAAGAGAAAGAGAAGAAGCGTTCTAAAACTCCTCCCAAGAGCTACAGCACAACTAGACGATCTAGAAGCACAAGCAGGTATAGTAACTTGAAAAATTTCTGTAGTCTCTATTTCCAGTGTGCTTTATCCACTTCATAGAAGGAACATTCTTGTATTTAATAGGATGATGATTGATGCAGATATATTGGATGCATGCGCATGTGCTTGTACAAGTGCATGTGTACTCTCTACACCTGTGTCTCTAAGACTATTCTTTTTCCTGTAATTTTCTGGAGGTATCATTTGGGCTTAGAATAGTTTCTCTTTGACCCCAAAGCACAGTACTCCTTGCTCTGTATCACTTTTAAACTATTTCCTGGCTTCTGGAATATATACTGGCATGATGTATAGTCGTGTTCTTTTTGAAAGTGGCTTTGAAAATCTACTTACTGTAGTAACAACAAATTGTTTTGTGTCTGTTATGGATAAAGTAAGAGTCAGCATCCCTAAAAGAGTTGAAACTGTTCATTTATTCATTAAGGTGGTGGTAGAATAGAAAACAGTTTACTCTGCTGATCAGCAACTGCAGGGGTTCTGCAGTACTGCTAATAGTAAATATCAATTTACATTTATAATCCATATTTATTACATTTTGACCAGTACTAACTGTGGAGCCATGGATGCATTTGTAGCTTAAAAAAATAAAAAATAAAAAGGAAAAAAAAAGAAAGGCTTTAATCTCTGTTCCTTACAGAGAAAGACGACGTAGAAGAAGCAGGAGTGGAACACGGTCACCTAAAAAACCCAGGTCTCCTAAAAGGAAAATGTCCCGGTCCCCATCTCCAAGAAGGTCAGTACCAACTGGCTACAAAAAGCTGGTGGAAAATTCTGAACCTGAACTTACAGTAAAGATCACAGTGGGGTCAGCTCGCAGGTGGTTTGTTTGGCATGTTTCTTCTACCTAGGCCGTGGGTTGACTTCTTAAGAGAGAGTGGATCTCTGCTGCCTGCTTCCTTTTGTCATAATTTAATTGGCTTCAAGCATAGAGCTTGTTAGTACCAAGAGTTCCAAAATGAGGTATTCTAGGGGTGAGGAGTAAGAGACATCCCGAGTTCCTGGCCTATTTGGCTCTATACAGTACTGGTCAATTAAATTCTATGTGGCCTAGCCATATTATGATCATTTTTCCCTAAATGTGGAAGTTGCGGTTCTCCTTAAACCGCTATAATGTTGCTATTCTTAACAAAAACATTTATTAGGCTTCACTTTGCAGTGTTTGTTTTTGATCTGGAGCCAAGAAATCAGCATGTTTGGTTATTTTCTGAAAGCAAATGGTGCATCTTAGTTGCACATGACTCTTTCTCCGTTTAGATTTTTAAAAAACAGTGGGTAACAGTCTGGATGTAATTTGTGTTCTATTTATGGAATGGTGTGACTGTGATTTTCTTTCTTCTTAAACATTATAGGCATAAAAAGGAAAAAAAGAAGGATAAAGACAAAGAGAGAAGTAGAGATGAGAGGGAACGATCAACCAGCAAGAAAAAAAAAAGCAAAGACAAAGAGAAGGATCGAGAACGAAAATCCGAAAGTGATAAAGATGTGAAAGTATGTTTTAAAAACCTGTTTATTCACCACCTTTACTGTAGCATTAACCTTAAACCCTCAGGGGCTTTGAAAGCAAATTGTAACTTTTATTTTTTTTATCTCGGCGAAGCAGGTCACAAGGGATTATGATGAAGAAGAACAAGGATATGACAGCGAGAAGGAGAAAAAGGAAGAAAAGAAAATGGCAGATTCTTCTTCTCCTAAAGTGAAGGAGTCTGCAGCAGATAAAGGAAGCGGAGATTCATCAAGGGAGTCCAAAGTAAATGGGGATGATCATCACGAAGAAGACATGGATATGAGTGACTGAATTTTGCCTTTGCAGTCAACACAGCTGCAGACGTGCATCAGTGTCATTCCTGTGTGATTCTTTTATGCTGTACTTGTTAATCCTAAATCTAGATGTATACAGCTCTAAGCTATATATGGTTTGTAAAGCTCCTGATACTAACTCCCATCAAAAGCTTTATAGAAAGGTAACCATTCTTGTTCCGGACGAAAGGGATTGCGTATCCAAGCAATCTTTACTAACTCGGTGATGCTTCAAGCAAAAGCAAAAAGCTGCATGCATCTACAGCAGGCATGGACTGTTTGTTGTATGACCTCCTTTAGTAAATCAGCTCACTTATGATAGTGTTTCTAGAATTTGATTCATTGCAGTAATAGAGCAGTATAGGGAATGCACTGACTGCATGTTGATTGTGGCAGAAACATCCTAAATGTTCTAAAATCTTACAACATATGGTGGATCTACTTAAGGGTCTTAAGTGTGACTACACAGAAAATGACAGTACATCTGAAAATAACCATTCTGATATAGGTAGGGTTTTTTGTTTTGTTTTTAAGCCATACAGCTGGGCTTTTTTGTTCGTTTTGTTTTGTTATTTTTTTTTCTTTTTCCGGTGGATTTTGTTTGGCTTTGACAAAGTTAAAATGCACTGACCTTTTTGAGGACTTATTTTAATCTGTCAGTTCAAATCCATCCCAGGCAGCAAAAAGTGACAAGTTGTAATGGTTCTTAGCTTCTCATCTTGGGTCTTGGGAGTGAAAGTCTCTGCTTGAACTGTACCCGGTGATTAAAGGTTGATTTGTGCAGTTTTCATAATCCAGGTTGTTTTATTTGTTAATGAGCTAGACGTATTGCAAAAAGGTAGTGCATTTTAAAATTGATCTTTGTATGCTTTTAAAAGCAAGTCTACTTGATAATGTACTTTCTACTTGATCTCAAGTTGTATAAACTAATAAATTTGTGTTACTGTCACTGCAGTAGTAATCTTATGCACACAGTGATTCCATGTTATATGCAGAGTAGGTAGGCAAGCTGTTTTCTTAGTTACAGAAGTTCAAGAGCTTTTACTTTTGTGCAGGTAAAAAGACAAAAGTAGGCTACAGTCTGTGCCATGTTGATGTACAGTTTCTGAAATTGTTTTACAAACCTTTGATAATAAAACCCGTAAACTTATATTCCTGTTCCTATAAAACTTTACTGGTATTTATTTACACCACTGAATGTGTGAATCTTTACCTCATTCCTTTTTAGAGAATGCATTTTTCTTCATCTATGTATTTCAAAAAGACTATAACAACTCCATCTTTTTAAAAATGAAGTACAGTGACAAAACTGTTAAGCCTGCCATTTTAGCTTGAGTTAAATATGTTATATACTAAAAAGAATTCTTTTACTTCGTTTGGGAATAAAGGGAACAGGCTGAAATGGTAATCTAGAGGTGTTAAGGGGCAAATACTTTAAAGAAACATATTTGTAAATTCTGTGTTTTCATTGAAGTATGAACATTCATCTTTATTTTTAGGATGCTGATGGAAGACACAGAAACAGGAAGCAGCAAGTGCTTTGTACGTATAAAATAGGCTGTTATGCCAGGAACTGAAACCTTACTGGTTAGAATCAGTAAGTTTTGGAATAAAACTGTAAGTGGTGCTTGAATTTTAGAATCTGATGAGTCAAATCACCTTTTTTTTAAACTGTCCTTTTGCCCTAGGCAAAGTGGAACTCGCCATTTAGATATGAAGTGTCATTTTTTAGAATTTGTAGAAATGTAAATTTTTACCAACTGTTTGAAGTATTTTGTCAATACAGAGAGGTATATGTCATAAAAGCAGTTCTAGCATTTTATTTCTGACAGTGCAGAGAACCTTTTAGTTCTTGTAAGAAAATACAGACACGGACAAGGTGCATGATGTCTTCATAGATGTGCCTTTTTAGTTGTCAAGGTATTTATATGTGAAGTATAAGAACATAAAACAATTTATAGTAATAAAGTAAACCTCCTTGATCCTTAGACCTCGTTGTTGTGAAAGTCATTAACATGCTGTAATGAAAGGGCTAAGTCAGATCCTTACCAGCGTATTGAGCTACAGGTGGTAAAGCCGGGGCTGACGTATACAGTGCTACATTTAATTAAGTTAAATGATTGGTGGTTTATTTTAGTAACGAAGTCTGTGTTGTGCATTAACTGGGTACCTCAGGCTGCCCAAGCCTAAATGTGGAGACTGGAGAAACAAGAGCGTGCGTTCTCAGGCTACATTTCCTAATTGTGCCCATTTTACTGCCTTCCAGCATGCCAGCGTGTCTCGGCTGGCTCTTACGGGCTGCTGGGTGCTTTAGGAAACAGCTGTACCAGGTTGGTGCTCTTCAGTATCGGTGCAGAGCTCAGTGCTACCTTCCTCCTGCAGGGCTTGCACACGCTGTGCCCATGTCCATGTACACCAGCTCTTAGAGTGCAGACTCAAAAAGATCTTAACGTTGGATTGATAATTGACAGATAATTATTACTGAGATCGCCTCCCTCTTGAGGTGAAGCTTTTCAAGTCATGTAACAAGTCTCTGCCTTACTTGAGTAGTTTAATCCTGATTGAGGAGCAGCTGCTCCTGTCCTCTAGCATTCCTGGAAGGGGCTTTAAGTTAAAGTAATAACTGGCAGAATGTTTTTTTCTGCTTAAAATTGCATTGAGAGTTGGTCAGTGAGGGTTGCCAGTTGTGAACTGATGACTGTATAAAAGTCACTCCTTGCTTTCTCCCACTTCCTGCTTGCAGACTGCAAGCAAAGAGCAGGAGCTATTTTTAGGCCAAACCTAAACTCCTTGGAAAATGACAGCTAGGAACCAAAGGTCAAGAGCACAGCAATACAGGAGGTGACTGTTTATGTTGGCAAATGGTAATTCCTGTGCTATATTAAGTATTTCAACAGCTATTATTTCTGCCACTAGCATTCTTAAAAAAAAAAAATAAAACTAGTACCAAATAGGGTTAATTGTTTACACAGCAACCTTACATTCACTACTGCCAGATTTCAGCAGTATTCACTCACAGTCCTAGTAGTGGCTGTTCTGTTTGCGTGCCACTACCAAGACACCCAAAAGCATCCCTTTCCTCTAGTCTAGGAATGGGACATCTTTTCCCCTAAAATGAAACTAAAATATTTAGTAAATGTCAATATTGGCTTTGTTCCAATTCCTCAGGTACCTGATCAGCATGCAGTTCAAGCTGCCCTGTTCCATTTGGAATGAGTGTACACAAATGGTGTTAGATGAGGTACCACAGGCCAGATGGAGGTTTTGGCCTGCTGTAGCTGGGGGCTGCTGTTCCAGCAGACAGGCTTTCCTACAAGGATATCTCTCACTACATGAAGGAAGAATGATTATTGTGAAGTCAGACTGAGCAAGACACTCTGGATGAAATCCCTGAAGAAAGAGTAGGTGTTGGCATACCCATTTTAAACCGAATGCACTTCATTTTGGCCAAAGCCAGACTTGAAGCTACCTACATTAGATGTTACTTTAGGTTATTACAACCCAACCCTGAAGATTACAATGTACCTGTTGACTTAAGTCTGTGCTTTTACTATTTTAATTAACTTTGTAGCTCTCTGTTAGGTTCTACTTTCCTCTTGCAACTGACTGTTAAAAGTTCATTGTCCACACTTGTTCTGAGATTACTGTTACATTTTCTATGTATAATTCTCGATTTAAGAGATAGAACTAATGTCAATATTGAACACAGTTAAACTTAAAAGGTCTCTTTTTTTTCCCTCCAAGGTAGCTATTCTTGTTACTTGCTAAGAAGAGCTTGCTTCTGTCTCCTTCACCTTCAAGTATGGTGGAAGCAGTGTTCATGATCTACCACTACTGCACCTCCCCTGTGTAGTAAACAGTCCCATCACATTTTAGAGCTTCACAAAGGGTAAAAACCAGTGCTAGGCTGAAAATTGAGACTTTTATTTAAAAACTGACCAATAAAATGCCCTTGCAGAATGCAGCAGTGTGAACTCATCTTCTCAAATCAAATCCTTGCTCAGAGATGTACACCTCTATACTCTTGAGAGTACCGCATGGAGGGAGCATTGAACTTGATTTTTACATGTTTGTCACATGTTGAACAATTTCAGAATCGAACAGCATATTTTGGTCTTTATTCTAACAAATGATACAACCAAAACGTTACTATTAGTGAAGGTAAGTTAAAAACATGGACCAAAAAAACTAGTAAGATGCAAAAAAAGTGACATTGTTTCCATGATAGTTACAAATTGTAAGGAAAATAAATGTGAAACTGCAGCATTACAGGAAACTTGTTAATACAGATTAAATAATGCAGTTATCCTTGCATGAATTAAAATTGAGAACAAATACATTTAAAAATGGACAGTTGCTTTGAATATCAACAATGTGGGTTTCCAGCACAAATATATCCAGAGTTTTTTTTTTTTTAAACAAATCATTTCTATACATAAATCAAGAATTGCAGTAAAGTGAGTACAGTGACTGGAACAGCAGCTCCTTGAAAGGAAAAAGACAACGCATTCCCTTTGCCACAAATTAAAGCAATGTTTTGGAAGACCAGTAAAACGGTTTGGTTAAGAAACAACCCCTAGAATTTATTTGCAACAATTTCTTATTTCAGTTTACCAAAATTAGTGGCTGTCTTTTTAAGACTTATTCATAAAAAAATTCTCTCATCAATCAGAAAAAATTAGGTGGTGAGATCAGAGAGAAACACCACCCAGACTCTGCGCTGAGGTTGTCTCTGTCACAGCCCTGGGACACGGAGATCTCCCCTCTGGGCATCCCTCCCGTACCGTCAGCTTTGCCTCCGGGAGCCCCACGGTGCCAGCGAGCATCCCAACACCGTGGTTCTTGCACAGGCTGTGAAAGCTGCCTCTCCCAGCCCAGCTGGGTGCAGCACAAATGATACCTCACAACTCCGCTAGTAGGTCCAGGAATGCGTTTTTGTTACGCAGATATTCACATTCCATGGAATTGTGTTGCAATGGAAGCCCCCACACATGTACAGGGGGCGTTAAAGCGCTGGAGCTGCCGGGGTTTTGTCTATGCAGCAGTAACGAGACAGCCTCAGTGGATATGTACTCATTGTAAAGGGACAACCCTTCCTTAATACCTAATGTGGCCTCAAGGAAAAGATGAAGGGAAAAAACAGAAATTAAGTTCCGCTAGATCAATCCTGCTAAAAAGACAAGTTTTCCAAAAGATATCCAAAGAGGAGATCTAAGTGGTAACGGACACCAACGCCCACAGCACAGCTGGGGGCCGAGGCTACATCTAGACGAGAAACACTTCACCCACCTACAGCGCCGACAAAGCTTCTGCGTGGATGGCTCCGTACTGACGGATGCGCGGGGTCAGTACAATAAAAAAAACCCTTGCAAGCAAAATGAATGATACTGGATAAAACATTGATACCGGTGTGGACACAGCCACCACTGGAGAACCGCACCAGCACAGCTGCGCTGCCGGGGAGCTCAGCACCCAGCTCCCCAGCACAGGCTCAGCCTAACGCAAGACACGTTGCTGTCGCTAACGAAGGTTCCTACAGCTTTCAGTGTATCCATCAGCAAACCACACCCAAAGTGTCCATACGTTTTTAACAGTGTTTTAAAACTCACCGCTAGGAATGTTTCAGACAGAAAACACATCACCAGAAGTTGGAAGGAAATGTACCGAGAAACAGTTCACCAACTCTCACTGAATGAGGTGGTCACAGGAGTCTAAAAAACAGTCACTGAACTGGAAAGGACAATCTGATGGAGTCAGATCATTCGGCTTCGGAGTAAGAAAAGCAGTAGTATGTTCACTACAACAATGCAAAAAGACTACAGTCAACAAAACCTGTGTCCATTCTTCTCTGCTGATGCTCCAAATTAAAGCAAGCCTTAATATAGCAACGCACTAGAAAAAGTTCCTGCAAATCTTAAAATGTATCAAAGTTAGTCATTGTGTAGTCATGAAGATTTAAAAAAAAAATCTCCAGCCAGAGTCCATGGAAATCACTGACCACATTTCCATAACCTGTAGTGGGCTTCAAGCCATACCTCACTCGCCACCAGAAGTAAAGTCTCTGCTACAGGCAGGTGGAGATACACAGAACCCTCTGTTTCACATAAGGCTACACTCAAAGGTGATAACTGTTGGTAGTGGGTTTTTTTTTTTGCTTTTTTCTTTTTTTTGTTTGTTTAAGATCTAGCATCCAGTCCATTGCAGTTGCTACGTTGCCAAAATACATAGCCCCAGCTACGCTGGCTCCTTCCTATGTCAGCAAGCTCTGTGATATTTTGGAATAACCAAAAGCACAAAATAACAAAACAAATGGTTCTTTCCCTGTAATACTGAGGAGAAAAAAATAAAAAAGATTTCTAACATTCACTTTATGAAGAAACAGCCTTCTGCATCTGCTGAAGTTTCCAAGCAACTTTATGGCACCCGTACTCTCCTCGGTTTTGTGCCTGCCACAAAACCTGATCCAGCAGCACTGCCCCAAACATTCTTCTCTACATTAGGTATTTGTAAGAGAGGGCAACAGGAGTATTCGGCATTTGGCCCCATTAGTATTTAATCCTGACCTCCAGCTCCGACTGGACAATTCAGTCTCTACATACATTCAATCTGGGTCTCTTGTGGTAAGGATCTCAGCTGGTTCTAAGCAAGACCTCGAGGTGGGTGTCAACTTATACCATAGACGTAAAACACTTTAGGAATTCATAACAACTTGGAAGAACAAGTCCTATCATTCCTAGAAAATGTTCAACATCTGCTATTGATACAGTACTCAAACATAATTACAAAAATTTTACATTTCCCTTTCTTTTTTCCCTATTGTTTTTTTTTATTTGATTTTGCATTAGTAACTCCAGTGTATCAGTCACAGTCTGCAAAGTAAGCATTACTCACCCATCCAAGGTGCAGGTTTAAAGTGATGCTGGACAAGGATCAACCTCAATTTCCTATTTTCACCTCACCTTTACTTTGCGGATAGTGATTCACCAGGACTCGTTTATAGAGTGGATACTGTATTTCTCTAGAGCAGCCTCTTTGGGTTTTATACAGGTAGATTCTAGAAGTTCAGAAAGAGTTTCTCCTTCAGACACGTATTTCCACATTCTATCAATGTGCCTGACAAGTCAGCTTTTATTGCCTTGTGATAAGCTATCTCCACGTATCATCCGCATGGTTAGTTAGGTTGGTTACCTTTACTAAGCATTGATGGTACTCTTCATAATAAATTCTGATACTTAACTCTATTATTTCCAGAAAAAGTTTTAACTACAGTGCACAAAGAATATAATTTTGAAAATATTTACATTTTTGTACAATTACACCACAGCACTTTAATCTAAATTTCTTAAAACAAATAGCACCATTAGCCTTTTGCACAAATTCTTGCTAACAAACCAAAAAGCTGGATTTTTGTCAAATTAGGAGACTGGAACCACTTGGAATGAGAATAAGCTCAAGAAGCCAGGGTACTGAAACCCCTACTTATTAAAAATAAGGGGAAAAATAATTTGGAAATATTCTAAGCATTTGCAAATAAAATCCTCTAAGGTGAGCCCTATTCAATGTGCACTACAATTGAACTAACTTCAAGAAAACCTTTCTCCTCATACAAAGGCTTGAGCTTATTGTTCTAGGAACTCTTTATAAGCACCCCATGTTTTCCAGTGGCTGCTAAATACAAATAGGAGATAACCTAGTTGGTGTTCAACCATTACGGAGCAAGTCTCCTAAGTGAACATGACAGATGAGAAGTGGTGACTTCGAGCTAATGAACTTCCAAGCACGCTAATCAAGACGCATCATGGACACAGAGAGGCTTTTCCAAGCCAGTTTGAAGAGAAGTTATGTGCAGGGCCAATGAAAGCAAGATTAGCAAACAGCTCAGTGAAGAAATTAATGGTTCAGAGACATGGATAGCACCACAATGGATTGCACTAAGGTGCTAGAGGAGGTACCTTATTCCCTGCAGAGTGAATGCTATTTCTGAAGTGCATTGCAATAGAAAATGCAATTGTTTAATGGTTACCATTTGGTTCATTCAACTACAGAAAACACATTCCTCCTAATATGCATTCAACTAACATTCAAATTACTGAACTATACATAATGATACATAGTTTACAATTCTCAAAAACAAAGCTTGAAAGAATGTAATACCGTCATCTTAAAATATGGTGGGATGTTTTAAAGGACTGATATCCAGCTAAGACATTTCCACTTTTATGCTAATGGTCCAAGAGTGCTTTTTGTATCACCAAGAAATGTAAAAAAATTTAAAAACGAATGATAGTCCTCACAGCTGTTAAGTATTCTCAGGGTCATTGAGGTGTCAGACTACCACGCTTGCAGTACTGGATGTATAAAAGTGTGAACAACACAGCAGGAGACTTGCTGTAAATCAGGAACTAGATTAGATGCCCGTTAGAGTGAGTATTGGTACATCAGTCATTTGATGCACGTTCCCTTTTACTCTGGATTAAGTTTATCCCTTCCTTTATGACCCACTCCTTTATCTACATCTGTGGGCTATTTGCATCCATTTGCTCTCACTGTGGTACGCTGGTATTGTTATTGTTATTCACCATTAACCTTCCAGTTTAATTAGAGATCAGGGAAACGGCTGGGGTCCTCCTTGTAATCATCAGGAATAGTGAAGATGGATTCATCAAATTCATCGTAACGGAACTCCTGAAAAGTCACAGTGGCTGTGATGGTGGGAAATACAGGAATATCTAGACAGGAAACGAAGACAGGGAAAAATCAGAGGTACACAGGCTTACCAATAACTGCCAACTATTTTTTAATGAATTGTAACTTCAGACTTGCTTAATGTATAGAAGCTTGTTTAATATTTCACAAGATGGCAATTCAAAACTCCTAAAAAAAAATGAAGAGGTGCTTTATAATAAAGTTACTTCAGAAAATGCTCAGATACCCTGAGCAGTGAAACGATATCCAACTCAATACACCATTCAAAAATATTAACATAGTAAACTCAGTGACTTTCCTTTCTTGATGCAGACTGATAACCGGGGAACCCTTCCCCTACTGTTGTGGTTTAACCTGGAAGAATGCTGAACACCACACAGCCGGTCGTTCACTCCCCCACAGTGAGACAGGGGGAATTGAAAGAACTTTGCAAGCCTCAATCCATAAACAGAACTGTGCAAGTGTGACAGGGGGCAGAATACAGTCTGTTCAGAATGCCCAAGCGTGAACAGCTTACTGGTACCAAGAAATCCTCTAACATTTAGAAAGCGTGCTATTACTTTGTGACAGTTTGCACTGCGATAATCAATACCCATAAATAAATTGTTTCATATGTTTATATCTGGTAGCAAGGGTAATGTTTTCATTTCTGTTTATCTGTAATTGAATAATATGTCACCTATAAACTTTGAGAAAAAAACAATACAAAAATGCTACAAAGTACTTAACTTGTGACTAAGATGATGCTTTAAGGCAAGGACGCTTCAGCCTATCTGTATTATTCTTAGAACAAGACCCTAGCATTAGGAAAACATAAATTACGGAGGTCTCTTCCTGGCTAGGGCTATAATCTCCTTTGAGCTGCAGATTTTCTTTTTCAAACCAAACATTGTTTGCAGTACTGTAACTGCATTCCCCTGAAGTCTACAGCAACACGCACTTACATGTATGTAGAAGTTCTTTGTCAGAACTCAGAATTTTTGAATACATTGTATAGAACGAACACACACATTTTGGCAAAATAAACCCACAAGAATTGTTAGAGTAGCCTTACCTAATTTTACAGGAAAGCCTGGTGGAAGCTTCATTTGAACAAATTCTCTAAGTTTGTTAAAGTGCTTGAAGGGTGCAATTACTTCTAAAACATTCAATAATCTGGAAAGGAGAATAGATTTCATTACCAATTATTTCCGCAGGCTTTCCCCTCTGGAAGAGATAAAAATAACCCACAGAGCACGATGCTGTGAACACACAGATTAATCTGTTAAATTAGAGGAAGTTGGCCTGAAAATAATACAAGATTTTTAAAAATGTTAAAAGGTGATGAAAAAGGATTTGAAAAGTTACATCATGCCAATTGTGCGTGTGTGCTTATGTATGGCTCCAATATCATCATCACACTCAGTTCTTAGTGATCCATACTGAATTATCAGGGCATACAAACAAACACCAAGACATTTGATTCTTGCCCTCATTTTACACCAGCAGCTGAAGCACAAACTACCACACCCCTCTTCTCTAAAGACATATGGAACCTGACATGGTTCTGTATGGAGGATATAACTTTGTGCTAAAACTTATAATGGGCACAACTGGTTTAGTATTCTGTAGGATCAGGCACGTGAGCATTGTGACAATTAACAATAAACCTCATCAAGCCCCTGGTCTCATCAGGGGAGTGAGTACTTAGCTCTTTGAGAGCAGGCACACCAGCAGTGAGGTCTGTAACAGTTTACTCGCTTAACAACACTGCTTCATACATGGTTTTTAAACCACCAAAGTCCCTAACCTGAAGATACAAAGCATTCTGCATTAACATATTTCTTACACGTAAGTACTATTTATGGCCAGTAATTTTGACTTACGATTCAATTCCTAAGGGAAATTCCTGGCTCATAGCTATTGTGGCTTTAAAGGTCTTCTTGCTTTCTTTACAGACCAGCTCTCTACCCAGATGAGGAGCCCTGCAATGGGGAGAAAGACAAAGTCATTTTTCCCTCCCTCTCAGTGGAACCTCAGTTTTAAAGGGAAGAATCAAGACTCAGCTTTGAAAAGCCAATAAAGAATCCCTACATTAAAGCAAGTACTTCAAAATAGAGGCTGTATATAGAAAAAAGGCATCAGTTGGTAGGCACCTCAATTTAGATCACTGAGTTCTGCTAAACCTGGAGGCAAGACAGATACAGTTAGGGAAAAGACAAGAGTCTTCAAATAACTCCACATGAACATTACGTTAATAACTGCTATAGAACAGCAATTACCTAGAAATACATTCACCAGCTGGTTGCAGAAGTAAGCTGAAATAGTCTGTATGTGAAAAAAGTAGCAAAGTTTAAGTGTTAAGTTTGTGAAGAGACTGAAACAATCTCAGAGAAAGCAGAAAAGTTATTGTCACTAGAAGACAATAATGAAAAACAGGACAGAAAAACAGAAACAGAAGAACAAACATCAGGTAACAGATGTTACTGGCATCTGATTTCTATTAGCTAGAACCTCAAATTTCCATTGAACACCCTTTAGGTTATCAGACTATTAAATGCTGCTCTTATCAAAACAGACACGTTCTATGTTGATCAAGCATAACCTATTTATTATGCTTGAATATTTATTTTATTTAAATACATAAAAATGAAAGTGAAAAAAAATACATGTGCATTTTTAGTAAGCCTGAACTGTAATGTCATCATCTTCCCTGCTTACATCTGACTATAGCATAGGCTATGGTAGCTGTGGAAAAAAAAGGACTTATTTACTTCTGGGCCCTTCTACATGCAACAGCTGGGAAACATTTAACGCTTGAAAAAAAAAAAAACAACTCAACTGCTCGGATATTTTACAAGTGAAGCTACTGCAAATTAATTTAAAATGTAACTGCTCAATACCTAACACATGCCTAGAGCAGAGCATCTTGCAAAAACCTCACTAGTACAAGGAGTTCTGTGTGCCATTGTACTCTGGAAGAAGTGTGTTTTCGCACGCTGACATTGCTACTAGGCTCATTAAATTTTAAACACTGAATTTTAAACACAGCGAATTGGAATATTTATTATCATCACATGAAGACATCAGTGAATTACAGCAATGAAACTGACAGAAGTCTTCCTTTAAAAAATGCCAGCTAAGATGCACGTATTTTCAAAGCGTTTAAATTTCAAGCCATAGCTACCAGGTACACGACCAAACTGTATTTTATCATCACCTGACACAATATTGTTTGTACACAGGTATCAGCTTCCCAGCCAGTTTCTTCCATCCACAGACACACGTGAAACATCCAAGCAATCAACAACAAGACTCCTCTGTCCCTTGAAAACTAAAACCAAAAGCACCCACAAACTTCAGGACACTGAAAAAAAGTACCAGCGACCTAACAGTGTCTATGGAAGTTAATGCCAATAAAACAAAATCACTTACTTTCCATTTTCAGCAGATATGTACTCTTCCCATGTAATTGTATTGGGTGATGGTGGAGTAAGTGACTGCCGTCTGACGGGCTGTTCAGAGAAAGATAGCTGTTTATCTTTCCATATATTCTTAGAATTTTACTATTCAACAGATGTACTTGATTTGCAGCTGATACTTCACACAGCTTTTCCATCTCCTACTCTTCCTTTCATAGGCTGCATTTAGATATTACGCCTCAAACAGCGATTTACACAGAAGCTGCCTGTTTTAATGCTTTGCTTAATCAGTTAATTCAAGAGCCTGAATGACAAGTAACAAACCACAAACTAATACAGAAATAAATTAATCCTTTTTAAAAGGCTGTATGCATGTTCCCAGATGATGTCTGGCTCACTCTGAATAGCTCTTGATTTCATGGAGATAATAACAGGCTTAGTCCACTTTAATGAAGCTAAAGGAAAACAGGATTGAAAAAGAACTAGAAGGGCATTCTAAACAACAAACATTTGGTGTAAAGAACTTAGTGATTTGTCAAAGCTAAAAACATCATCTTTTATTAAGATACTAATTATGACTGAAATATTCAATATAATCAAAAAAATTTCTCAATGTGTGCACTAATCAGGATAATTAAACTAATGACTACAATTACACTTATTGGTAATATTTATTACTTTAAAATACAGACAGCCATAATAGAACAAAAACTTCCATAAATTATTCACATGAAAGTTTATTCCCTTCTGGAAAAAATCAGTGTAAAGCTTGACATAAGCATACCTCAAAATTTTGTTCCATTAAGTTGCCACCTTTACTCAGGCTCTCCATGATAGCTTTATTTCGAAGAATATCCTCTTCACTGAGATGTTCTCTTCTTTTTCTCGATTCTAATACAAGTCCATTAACTAGGTAGAAATCTGCCAAAAAGTTTCCTACTCTTTCCTGCAAGAAAGGAATTAGACATGAATTAATTGCAGAAGATAAAATAAAAACATCTAAATTCCTGTAAATACACATAATTACATTACTGTATGATGACTGCAGGATTGAGATGTTGTAATTTAAATTTACACAACCAACCATGTGAGCTATCACTGTACAGTCCCACTAACACACATACAGCACAAACACAAGAGTTCCATCAGAAACAATTATTTTGTATCAACGGAAATTGAGAAGAGATTGTTTAAGAATCTGAGAGTGGCCAAGGGAAATCTGACTAAAAGTTCTTTCAACAACAAGTTACATTGTAGTTTATATGCATGGATTTTCTGTTAGTTTTTTTACACATGTAAAATATGGATTCCTTATTTCATGAATGGATGCAGCTCAGAAACACTAGCTCAGCAGAAAACTGTCTATAAATGGCACAACTTAACATCCAGGTGAGAACAAAACCTTTCAGAGCTAGTCACCAGAAGGCAATTTCTTAGAGAAGCTCTGAAGGTGGCTGCTTCAATGTTTTTGCAGCTAAGAATTTGTACCTCAAACAGCAGGACAATAACTGGAAGGAACATGCAAAGGAAACTGTACCCAGAACGCTTTCATCTTCCTGCATTTCACAGACACAGGAGCATACAGGAGAATCCTTACCATAAATCCTGGAGTGACTTTGCACAGACAATATAATCACAGAATAAAGTTATTTTCTGTACAGTCTGTTTCCCCCATGCACACACCAGCTACAGTTATCTGCTTCCAGACTACCATTTTCTTACGAAGGGAGTCTGTCAGATACACCATGTGGTCAAACTAGGGACAGTAGTGAGGGCAGGGAAAGCATCACCAGCCCACCCCTCAAGTGTCTTATTCTTTCACTTTTTTTTTCCCCAATCACATTGCTGTAAGACTTTCTGAACTTTGTCCCCAGTAACGCCAGACTGAAATCTTCTTTCAGCTTACTGTTTTGTCTTCTCGAAAAAGCCATCCTGTTTGGGCACGCGTGAAGGTAATTGATTTGGTTGATAATGTTGCTGAGTAAATATCACTGCTCATCAGAATGTCAACCTCTTCCTCTGTTTCCATCTCCGATTCCTAGAAGGAAAATTTCCAAATACAGCAAGGAACTGATGATAAATGATTACTTCTTAAAACCTAGAATCAATGCACCTATTCTTTTGGAACCTTTCCCAGAATCAGCATTTCCTGAATTTTCAGCCAGTTTTACAGAAGCTGAGCTGGTTAACAGAACAGTTTCATCCTGGCCATTTCATCTGCATTAATATTTAAGGGTGACTTATCCTGAAGCTCACCAGCCACACCCTTTGCATAAGCAAAGATCCATGCTTAAGTGATTGGTGGGTGAAGCTATAATTATAAACTCAAATAAATAGTAGGGGACCGATGAGTCATAGCCTTGCACTGTTTACAGCTACACTGGCCACAGAGTGACTAAACGGGTGCAAAGCAGCAGCAAGTAAACTTGAAAACCTACCCGAGGACACGCAACTTAAGCCCACTGGAAAGATGAAGTGTCATGCTTCAAACTTTAAAACCTATTTACCTACTCAGAATGAAACAGTCTTTTCTAACAGGTATTTCATACTCCAGGTTTTTCCCCCATTTAGAAGTCTGTATCCAAACACAGTTCTTCATAAGACAATTTTACGTCACCAACAGAGCTTCAGTTACATCAGCTGAACAAAAAAATACCTGGTTTGTATTACTTCATAGTTTGGGTCTTTTTGAGAGGCATACTTTGTTTAGTAAATTCAGTCAGACTTCTGATGGGCAGTAAAAGCTTGAGGTACTTCACACCCTCCCTTCACACGGTTACCCACCTCGTGATGTATTCGCTGGTAAACTTTTTGTTCATTGTCTAAAACTACAAAAGATTCAGAGGGTGCTGCATCACCATTAAAAATGAAGCTTAAATCCCCTCGTTGGCACTTCATGTCTGTAAAGTCTATGAGAGTTGTGTCCAGCCTGTGAAAATACAGCAGTATTTTAAAAGAAGTTACCCACAAACACTCAAATAGACTGGTACTTTCTGTTTTCAAGCAGGAATTACTTTTTTTTTGTCACAACCAAACACATTAAGACCTAAGTCTTCACAAAATATTCCATAAATTAAGTCTGGATGTTGAAATAGAGAATTAGTATAACCACGTAATAGGTTTCACATTACAATGTCTACCATCAAAGGTGCACTCCAAGCTATTTTTGCACTAACTTCATAGAGTAAGTTCCATCTTTCATCACATGCCAACATCTCGCCAGCATGCAGCGAGTGACCATGGTGGCCAAAAAAAAAACAACTACACAAAGTAGAGGAGGCAGACAGCATGAGCTGCTGAGCCTCAGACCAGGAATGACCTCCTAACGATGCAGACAAGTCAACAAGCACCTGTCTGCCAGCAGGAACCACCCCATGTACCATGGGGTGAACATCCCACTAAATTTGGAAGAAAAAGTGGAGGCTGCAGCTGGTTCCAGACTAACCTGCCCTGCGTGCTAGAGCACCCTTTGTATTGTACATAACCTAAAATACCGTGTTTTATAAAGAAAAGCTCATCTTTATTTCAAAGCTGACAGAATGAGGAAGTGACAAATTACGTAGCCAGCATGTGTGTTGAGAAATGCAACTACTCCACGTGGCAAGCATCCTATCCCACAGGGAGCAACCACTGATTTGAGTAGCAATACCAGGATGTGACCCATCTTAGAGAGAGGGCTAGAAAACAGACTGAATGTTCATTTGATATATTTTAGTTACTGTTGCTATTTTTTTCCCCTCGCCAACACAAAAGAAAGGCTTCTGCTGACCTGAATAATTTAGAGACAGAGCCAAGGAAAAAGATCTCTCTAGCAACTCATATGCATTAGTGCTAGAATATTTACTCCTCCAAAACAGATGGTTAAAGAACCTGAATTTAGTAACCACTTCAGTTTTAAGGGGTGATTCCTTAATGCTCGTCATATATTGGCCTCTGAATTCAAGAAAGAATCTGGATCTATTTCCTTTGAGAGCCAGTCTCATAACTCCCAGCTATATAAGTGGAGCAGAGAAAGGAGGAAAAAAATGCTCTCAGACTCAAATTTGACCTAAAAAGTCATTTCATATATCTATGCTAAAAGCTTTAATAAGAAAATAACTTTCTACAGATATAACCTGCTGAATCCTAACATTTTTCCCATTAAAGTTTTGGAGCCTAAACAGAAAAGACAATTGAGTCTGAAAACACAATTTAAACCAGTTGAACGGCTGAAAAAAGTCCAGGATTTTGTGAATCTTCTGCACTGAGCATTTTAAAAACAGAAACAGTACAATTTTTCTTACTCCACAGAATTCCTTTTTTTCAATTAGTCACTGTCATGTCTGGTAGATACAGCCTTACACAGCTCAACTGTTTTTGCTTTATCTTAAGTGACTCAGGAATTAAAGCTAACATCAATTTGACAGTGGAAAAGACTCCTGTAGTTCAAACCACTTCCTGCCTCTAAATACCTACGTACCAACACAACAGTGCTTCACAAGCATCTGCACACTCCTCGGTGTTCTTTCACACCACACTTGAAACCAGCATTTTCACTAACGTACAGATATTTGTGACTTAGGAATCACAAACTACAAATCAGTACTTACCTGATATTTATACCTTGTTTGTGTATTTTACAAGCATCAGAAGGCAGAATTCGGGAAAGTAAAGGCACTGCAATTAGGGACAGAGATCATACAATTAGGACATTGAGGTTCCTCTGCAAGATATGTCTATTAAAACTACACCTCACCTTGAATTTCTACACATTGTAGTACAGAAATACAACATGCCCATTTCCATCACAATCTCTACACAAGTACAATTGACTGACACCGTGTTTTTCTAATCGATAACTGTAAGACTGCTACATAACTGTACAGAGTACCTCCAGCATTGGGATAGATCTTAAAATATCCTCATTTTAACTGAGCTAAACCATATAGAGACTATAATAATTTGTCTTCCAGCCAATTGAAATTTCAATTCCATGATTTGATATTTTAAATTTTTTATTATATCAGCTGAACAGAAAATACGCGCTGAACAAAAGGTATGTGCTACTGCACAGGGAGACCCCTGGAGAAGAGGACCACTAGGAGCTTTTTCTGTGCAGTGCCTTACTGCCATGATAATATTCTGCAAGTCAGGCCACAGTATCATCACTGAGCAATGTCCTATTCCTTGCCTGTACCTACTCTTTTTTCGTGCTGACTCTTCTGAAAAGTGCACAATCGATTACATAAAAAAGAAGGTTTTTGTTCAGGATCTGCTCAAGATTTCATAGCAGGCTGCCTCCTGATTCCCCCTATGAATATTGGAAGAGGCATATAGTGTATCAAGTACTTTGACTATGCTTATACATAGCTATATAGAATTACGAGAATTTCCACCAGTAGCAGAAGATATCATCAACATTTTTAAATTATTCAGACACAGTGACCATTCTTAACGCATTCTTGTTAATTTATTTAAACTTTTATTCTTCTGATAGGAGGAAGATGAAATCAAGAAACACTCTATGTTCTACTGCCACACAAAAACACATTCAGATTAAGGTTTGAACACTAACATGTAGCTAGCTGCACTTAACTGGAAGTACAGACTGAAATTCAAGGAATTAAATGGCACCAGTCCTGTTATTCAACAGGATCGTGAATTTTCCAAAAATCAGAAAAAAATCAGCTTGAAAGAATTAGTGTGTTGAAGACTGACTAAGTTATCTCCCTATGAAAGAGGATACACAGCCACTTACCCCAACTTTGAAAATCCCAGTGAAGCTCTAGATAGAAGTCACCTAGCTGAGAGGAGAAGAATACATTAACAAACATTTTAGTCTAAGTGAGAACTGTAAAACTTGTTGAAAGTTAGAGGCAGAATTGTGTTCTACCAAATAATACTTTTTACCCTCTGATGCAAGTAGTTGAATCAATACTAAAATTAATCATTTCTGAAGCTTTACCTACAGTAGAATCAACAATGACAAAGTTATGTAATTCATTTAAGCTAGCAATTTTGATTATTTTTTTTGTTGAAACAATCTTTTCAAATCCACTGCTTACTAGCTGTGTGAATTAATTGTAAATATTCATTAAAAGAACTAAAGGCCGCTGTTTGCTTTGATTGACCACAACCAATGACATGGAATTATATGTTATAGCTTAAATTAATGAGTCAAGTTTCAGCTACCAGCATCCACATATACACATTTCAAATTATCTTCTGGAAATACACTTAATCCCATAAATGCACCAGTCAGTTCCTTCAAGCTGTATGCAAACGCAAAAGCAAAGTAAGGATTGACATGATTAAAAAAATCAGCAATGTTGATAATACACTGAGGCAGTCATATTTTTCCACTCCATTAAGGAAACACGCAACTCTAAGCCAGGCCTTGCACTAGTAGGAACAAGGAACAGCAGAGCTGTTTTAGTAAGGCTGCTTGCTCTCACACAAAACCTGATTTTTTTTTTCCCCACTTCTAGATAGACAGCAGGTTTTTTTCCTCCCTTGGATCAATGAAAAACATAGGAACACGGGCAGAGCACATTCAAAGACTGCACTGCTGACAAAGCTTAGCTCAGTTTTCTGATATATGGTTTAATTAAGATAACTGGTTTGCTTTCTGCAAACCCACTTGTTTTTACAATCTGACTACACAGAAGCCCACCCCACCTAGAGGGAAATAAACATCCGTGTTTTGTAATCACAGTTCTAGCACACTACCAGTAGCAGTAAAATGCTGAAACAGAGCAATCTGACCTTTTCTTCTTAGTTTCTCTAAAGTCAGGGAAGTTTTACTGTGATTGAGAAAAACTGTTTGCTGCATGCAGTTGAAGAACTAGACTGAAAAAAAAAAAAAAAGTCTTTCCTTTTCTGGGTTTAAGGAAGCCTTAAAAAAAAAAATCAAACAAAAAGTGTAGATTAAAAATACATTCTTTAACTTATAGACTGCAGAGATGACTAATAGGTCTTACACAAAACTGGTCGAATTCCTAGAATTTGAGGAGGAAGTACCTTAAAACACACACAATTCTGTGACCCTTTAAAATGGACATGGTAAGCTAAGGTTACTGTTAAGAGCAACTAGCTTTGCACAAGCAAGAAAGAAGTCTTTTTATAGTTTGCTAGCGCATCCTTACTAAATGAACATAAGCCACTATTTTCTACCATGCTTTTGTCAACGTAACTGCCTTGAACTTACCTCTTTCAGGGCTTTTAATAACCGAGGTCGCTTTTCTTCAACACTTTCCCTGGACTGCTGTTTAAGCTTCCTTAGGAGTGCTGTAACTGAACAGAAATTAACGATAAGGAAAAACTATGCTATTTGGTTGTTAACTGGAGGTTAGGGTTGGCATTCAACACATTTAGAAAAAAATTAATGCCAATGTAGCATTTCATTAGATTTATAGTTGTGTAAAGTTATAGTAACTATACATAACCCACTATGATCACAACAGGAAGAAAAGCCTCAAACTGTTTATAATATAACGTATTCAATCATATCAAGAAGGCTTTTTACACGTTTCTACATGTTTTAGTAAAATAAAGTGAACATAAGCCTACAGATAGACAAAATTCTTCAGGAGTGAGGAGACTCCATGCAGAATGTTGTTAGTGTATTACAAACTAGGGCATTAATATACTGTGAAGTAGAACAGCAAGTTTTCTGCTGGAAGATGCGGTAAAAATAAATACTATTACACCCACTAGCGAGCAGAAGTAGAATGATTTACTCTACTACTTCATATCTGAAGTAATTCACTTCAATCGCTGTATTTGTCTATTGACCTGCTGAGATGCAACATAAAAGCAATGCCCCATTGCCAACTGTTACATCAAATATCATCCATACAGCTACTATGCATGGCCTAGCTCCTATTAAACAATCTCACATAGCTGAAATCCATTCTCCATCACCGTAACTCCTAATTTAAATACAGAATGCTAGTTTGTAACTTCTACAATGGCTTTAACCAAAATCTTAACTCTGTTCAACGTGATGTATCCTAATGCAATTTCTTTCCTATCAAGATCAGGAAATGGGCATGTGTCAAGCTTATCAAATCATATTTAAATATTAAAAAAAATTGATCTGATTAAGATAAATTCTGCAGAGAACATAAGCGTGGGTATTATATAAAAAATAGCTTGAAAACCTTTGTTTTCCTATCCTGAATGAGGCTTCCATTTCTGATTAATTGGGAAGCAGAGGTTCAGAGGCTCTTACTCATTTGTCTGTCTCCGTAGCTGATGGCTTCTGCAAGAGGGCTCCATCCCTGAGCATTTTTCACCTTTACTGGAGCATTATGGGCTAAAAGCAAGTGGGCACATTCTGGAACAAAGCAGTAATAATTACAGTAAACATAAGGGATCCATCAATATCATTCATGGAAACAGTAATATAAGAAATAGTAGATATTCAATATATTAAACACTACCAAAACACACATCCAAATTCTGAACACAAACTATAAACACATTTTAAAAAACATTCATGTAAGTACTTGTAGTATTTTCCTATTAAACATGAGCACTAAAAGCATAATTGGTAATCAGTGACCAATTACATCACCACTGGAAGAGTTTTCCTTCTGCTTCTTGTATTTTGCTTTTTATAAAGCAGCATTTTTGTGTGTGTACATCCCTCCCTCTATATAGCAGATATTGTAAAACTGACATCACCTCTCCCATTGCACAAGGCTATACATTTATTAGGAGACGTTTTGTGCCCTTCCACACGCGGAAGCTGTGCGCAGGCTTCCCTCTCCTTATCTCACCCCCTTTGCCCAGAGGTCAGTGGTGAACTCATTTCCTAGAAATCCACATGAAGGCACGGAGTTTTTATTAAGTCTCGATAACCTTGCGCATACAGGAGGGAGAGAAAAACCTGTCAGCAAAGTATCCCTACACGCTGCATCATCTTGTGGCAACATGGCATCTACAGGAGGCACACAAGCACACTTGGACCTCGGAAAGCCTCAGAATATGCATGACAATGTGCAAGCAATGGTTAGCCCAGGACTAACGCTGGGGATAACACAGCCCTGCTACCACAGCACACCACCTGCAGGTTTGTGCTCTCCCCGCACAGAGGGGTTAGTGCTGTGCTACGCTTTTTGTCAAAGCCTTGATAAGAGCACGCATCGGTGCCCCCCGACACTTGGCATGCACGTGCCGTGCTGTCAGAGCACCGTTAATGTCTCATAAATATCACACAAGCTCCTAGCGTAGCCACAGCTCAGCCTGCGTTCCCTTCCCTAAGGGGAGAGGCTGGTGATGGAATCAGGAGTAACCCCTAAAACTACAGGGAGAAAGCTTTCAGCGGTTCCACGTTCTGAATGAGCTGCCCTCCTTTTCAATGGTTCTTCCGTTTCTAAGCAGGGAGCATTTCCTCACCGCATCTCATTAAGATCACCCTGACCCATCTGCAGCGATACAGCAGGATCAAGCCGGCGCCGCAGGCTGAACAAACCCTCTCATTATGAATCAGATGGGCACCAAGAGGAACTTCCTGCATTCCTCACCTGCAGGTGTTACAGGAAACCCTACCAGCCCCGCGAGATACAGCCACCCTGAGTCACTGCAAGCACCGCGTGCGGGAAGGAAGAGACACCTCGCTGCTGAGTACATCAGCTCTGTGGTAAGGGAACAAAAGCCCTAACTGCTCTGTCCACACACACAGAGCGGTGCTTCTGTGGTTGCTTAGATAGCGCCTACCAGGAACAGCACCGTGCACTGAAGGCAGATAGGCTTACAGGCAGATTACACCTTCAGATAAACACACGGGATGTAAATTCACCCTGGAATTCACAGGTCTGGCTATAATGCTGCCACGTAGGGCTGAACAGTGCATGTGCACCAGCCCAGAAAGACAGAAAACTGACCTTCAGGATCAACGAGACCGACTGACAAGGCTGTAAAGGACCTGGGCTTCGTGGTGGATCAAAGACCAAGCAGGAGTCAGTCAAAGCAGTAAACCCAGGTGCTGTTCTTAACATCCCGTGTGAATATTCCTGCTCCAGCCAAGCTACAGAAAGGCTTACCATACACATCCTAAGTGATTTAGGGCTTCACACATGGGACAACTGACAAAGGAGCCAAGAGGGGAACTGCAAACTGCAATCTCAAATACACAGCTGATGGGGAAAAGGAGCGACAGGAAGAAGTGCCCCTCCTTGCCATGCTGGGCTGCAATAACCAGGGGATTTGTCAGCACTGAACACAGAGGGCTTTTAATCTTAGAGCTGGAAGGTAAAATAACCACAGCTCAAAAGAGACTTAGAACTCAACTGGACTGAATTAAAGGTGATAAATTCTTCTATATCAGTGTTATTTTATTAAAGAAAGAGCTTTGTTCAAAATCATTTGTACTTGTCAGTGTGGTGTGGTGCTGTTGTAGCTGACAATAGCTGTGCTGCAGAGCAGCAGCACATGCCAGGTGCAGGACTCCTGTGGCTTACCAAAACCAAGGCATTCTTCTTTTTCACTACTGAAACAAGAATTTTTCTGCCATGGAGACAGAACAATTATATTCCATGTTTTTTCCCCAGCCTTAAAATATGGCTACTTCAATGCTTTCTATTAGAAATAGAAATCCTGTGCCTGGAAATCCTGCTGTAAAAAATTCCCAAAGGATGTCTACAAAGATGACAGCCACCACGGACCACCAGGCTCCATGGTCCTGCAGCCTCGTGCTGGGCCCTGCGCAGGGCAGTCAGTCTTCAAACACAAGGCAACAGCTGGGCAGTGGGTCAGAAATCTGAATAAGTGAATGAAGGAGTGTATGAAAAGCAGGGAAGCGATTTTCACCCACGCAGTCACTTACTCTAGGAAATGTTATTTTTATTCATAACTGGGAAAAAGCTGAATGGGGTCGGTCCGTCTTTCCAGCCTAGCCCACTGCCTACCTCGTTCCTTGATTTCGGCCTGACCAACACCCAGACTTCTCTCTTCCAAATCTGCATGACTACTACTATTTTTTTTTTTTTTTTTGGAAAACCTCAACTTTGAAGTAATTTGAAACACAAGACTGCATTCAGGAAAAACAGAAAACAAATCTTTACTCTTGCCCCTCAGTCTTCAAGATAATATAAGGCAACAAAATTGATATTTTTACCAACCTTTATGCCCCAACATCACAGCAAGATGCAGAGGAGTGTTTCCTAAAATAGAGTGGAAAAAAAGATATTAGATTCGACATCACAGAAACCATTGCAACTCCCGGTAGGGCTGCACACACAGCTCAAACGCTCTGCGTTAAGAAACTTCAGATACACGACCCAGTGAAGGAGCACACTGACGTGCACCAGAGCAGTTAGGTTTTTAAGCAAGTCCTACGTACAGTCTTTTGATTATATTTGTTAAAATAAACACAGCTGAAACACTTCATGGGACAGAGCTTTATAATTACATCCCGAAACGTGCTCCGGCCAAAGCGGTACAATCACATCTTCAAGAGAGCGATAACCCAACCCTCTCACATGGGCTGACGAGTGTGGTATTTTACAGAGAATGACAGATCTAGGGTAAAAGCTACTCCAAGATACAATACTGATTAAAGTTTTAAGAGCATATTTTATGAATTTTTCAAAGACTTGGAATACAATTTTTACTAAAAAAGCAAACGGATAGGTTGAAAACTAATGGTAACTTCACTTCCAAAAGCACGGGGACCTTTTGGTTAGCTTAGTGCCATCTTTCCAAAGAAAGCTTCCAGGATTAGCAGCAGGTACCATAAGCAGGACTGTTTGGCTACACATGACACGTTTGCTACTGCTGGTCTTAGACACACACACAGTAAGGGACAGGAAGGTGCTGCATTATCACTGCTAATTCTAAAGCATTTCACTTTTGTAACTTAAGGCTGTAAAATTCTTCCGTTTAACTGTGCTCCTCTGTATGCTCAAACATCTTCTAGCAAAGCTAACGAAACGGACTGCCAGTTCCAACACATGCACTGGATTTTGGGGGAATTTTACAGCTGCACACCAGGGATGCTGCCCTGCTCACCCAACAGACGTGCTCCAAAACATTCCTGCACGGTGATTACCAACAAACTGCAGCACCACGAGATCCCCCATCAGGACAGGCAAGCAGGCAAAGGCAGAGGTCACAGGCAGCCTGGCATCAGCTATTCCAGACACAGCACAAATTATTGCTGCGGGTCACTGAGGCTCTCAGGCAGCCAGCTCCCCGCCCGCCGTGCACACCTCACTCGGCTAACCTCAAATCTATTCATAGGCTCCGTAACACCTGCGAGCCAAAGCCACAACCCCGAATCCCAGGTGCACCCAGGCTTCCTTAAGGGATGGAAAGGACGCTCCTGGCACACTGGGAAGAAACACCAAAATAACCGGGCCTGTGACAGCTACACTGAGAACTGGCAAATCTCTCCGCTGGTAAACAGGAACTGCAGTTGGGCAACAACGCGCAGTGTTTCAAAACTCCTCCGGGCAACCTCCTCAGCTACCTGATCTGATTTGGAGGCTCCCTGCTCCCAGCAGGATGCTGCACTGGGTTACCTCCAGGGAGCTCTTCCAGCACTGACTTCGCTTTGGTTCTGCGACCTTCATCACACCGAGAAGTAGGGAACTGAGAACTGAACGGGAAACTTGCAGGCAAGGGGGAGAGAAGGAGCGTGCGCACCAACAGGCATTCTGCTGGAGCACAGAAATCAGAATCTGTCAATGCCAGAAAAAAAGACTATTTCTGAGGAAGATGAGAAGAGGTAGTTAATATCCTTCCTGCTGGTCTTTACCCAGTAAGGTGCTAGCAAGGAGCCTGAGGTTTGACACATATCCACGAGATAAAACGAGGCTCGCTGCAGGACCAAAGGAAGAGGAGCCACTAAGGGAAGCTGAACCACCTCCTGAAATGGGGGAGAAGGAAAGGGAGGGCAGACACACAGCAGAGGGGCACCGTGACACACAGGAGCACCTCAGTCCCTGGCCCACTCACTGCCGGAGCAGCCGAGCCCATCGGCACGGCCCAGCACAAATCCCTGTTCAGAGCCCGCTGACCCCCAGCAGCGCAGCCCCAGGCAGATCTCCCCAGCAGCCACCCGCACTGCAGGCAGCCTCACCTCACACGGGGCTTTATTCCACCCCAGTCCCATCGCTGCTCTACAAGAAGCACTTCCCTTCCATGGGAAGCCAGGCACACACATGTAGGCGCTGCTCCAGGCCTGCCAACTGAGCAGTGCCCGCTCCTGGTGCCCTGCACAGAGGTGACAGTGGCAGCAGGAGCTGAGGGCCCAAGCCAGCTCTGTTGGGCACAGCCAGACACACTCGGGCACAGCATTCTGCACAGCTCCATCCCTAACCTGCCTTAAGGTCTGATAACCTGGGGAGGCCTCGATGCTCTGGGGCAAGCATAGGCGTTTTTTTATCAGTAGCACATTTAGGTGATTTATCACAGCAAGCCACGTGAGGTTACCTGGCACAGAAGGAAGGGATCACGGCGAGGTGTCACTCGGTTCACAGAACATCTCCCCACAGCCTCCAGCAGACGGGAAGCGCTGTCGGAGCAGCCCCCTCGATCGCCAAACCTCTCGCTCAGCCCAGGGGAGCTGAGGGAAGGCAGGGGCCTCGGGATGCCACCCCACCCACTGCAAGGAGCAGGCTCCGAAGCAGGCAGCAGCACAAGACCTCTGTAGATTTCGTCTCAGGAGTCTGGCTGGGGGCAGGCACATCGGGACCAGCTCATGTCTGCTCCTTCAGCAAGGCTGGGGACCTGCAAGCACATCCTTGACCCCAGCAGCCACCGAGGGGCACGCCAACCCCCTCGCTAGCACCCAGCTACAAGCCCCATGCTCTCAGGGTACGGCTGTTATGGGACTGGAGCAGGACGGTCCCGCTGCAACCTCACCGTGCTGCAGCCTCCAGTGCCACCGCCAGGACATCAAACACATTTTGTTACCGAGTCACGGCTCTAGGACAGTCCCCACCCGGAGCACACGGGCTAATTCTAGTTAAATTAACCTGATGGGAAGTGCACGGCTTCTCACTAACCCACTTTCCCTGCCCAGCACAGCCACGCTCCCCTGGCAGGCCAGGCTGGGAGAAGGCTTCGCTCCTTCCAACCCCAGGGACACCCAAGCACCTCGGGGTGTCAGGCTCCGGGACGAGCCACGGCTGCAGCACCAGGCCCACCAGGACGAGGATTTTGCCCGAGTTTAAGCCATGCAGCCCTCAAGGCCTTACTCTGAGATGGCAGCAGTACAACAGGGCCCGAAACCCTGCACGTCTGCAGCCAGGGCATGCAAATAAAAGTTGTTTGCACAAACACAGAGCCCAGCACTGCCCTAACGGGAGGGCAGACCTGTGTGCACGCACGTAGAGGAGGACGAGTGTTTTCCCCTGGTAATTCAGCAAGATTTGCCTACTCCAAAACCAACATTTTTATTTTAAATCTATGTTGAAGCTTTTAAATGCGCATTATAGCAAAAATCACAGTAACCTAAAGCACATACCTACAAGCTTCCCCAAAGAAACCTTCTTTTGGAAAGCCGGCGCTGGCCTTACCGACAGGTGATGCTTTTTTTGAGGTTAGCTCAGTGCGTGGGGCAGGCTGCGCTCCATTTATAAACCACCACCAATGTTTATTTTACCGTGAGTTTAACATTCTCCAGGACTTGGCTTCTCTGCCCTTAACCACATGCTAAAAATGGAACCAAACTATAAACACCAATTGTTACTAGAAGGTCTTCCTCCCCTCCATCGCTTCCTCATCGCGCACCAGGACTCTTCAGGCTGACTTCTGAGGGCAGCTGTGAGCTGCAGCTACCTGCCCAGGTAACTCACAACTCAAACACGTCAACAAGCGAGGGGTGGATTCAGGCACGAAGAAAACAATAACAAGGAAATGTTAGTCAGGCCTTCCGAACGTCCAGACATCGAGGGTTTGGGTTTAGTTTTGTTGCGTCTTTTTGTTTGTTTGTTTTTATTTTTTTGAAGTCTAAGAACAAAGGAACACTGAAAGTAAGAGTCTGGAGAAAGACCAAGAGATAAATCCACAGCACTCCTACCGTAATCAGCAGCGAGAAAGCAGAAAGATGTTCGTTTGAAAAAGACTTATATAAGTATGTAGATATATAGATAAGTGTATATTTTTATATATTTTAGAAGCTGGTATTGATGTCTGTGACACGCTGCAGATGACAGTGCAGCAGAGGTGTGCCAGGAAGCACCCTGAAAGCAAAGACCCCAAGCTCACACCGATGAGCTGGATGAGGAACGAGAAGGGCTGCAGGGGAGAAGCCAGCAGAAGGCACACAGCGACAACATTTCCCTCCGAGTCTGGTGCTTTCATTCTCCTCGTCTTTGCTGCAACGCTTGGAATGAGGATGGCAGGATAAATATATCCGTGGCTGTATTTATAGCAAACCACTTAGAAAAATGTTATGACAGTTGTAAGAAATACTCCTCCCCATCCCGACTGAGGAAACCGAGCTGCGAGTTACACCAACCAGCACGCGGCCGCTTGTTGCAGAGTGCCCGATCCCACCACGGAGATGGATTTCATTGCTAACTATTTCTTCCACTGATTGTACCAATTCCGAAGATTGCCCTCTCTTAGGAGGTGATTCTGTTTTATGTAACACAATTAAGCAACACAAAGGGGACATTTATCTCCCGGCCAGAATTAGAGCATAACCCTGCCCTGTAATCACAGCCTGTGCACAGCCCCATCCCGCACGGCTTCCACTCTCCTGGACGCGTGGCCTGACCCCAAACAGGCAGGAAACGCAGAGGGGAACTCCCCCATGGAATGCAAGCTGACTCCACGGGGAGATTTGTTCTTTAACCGTGTACAATATTCCCCAAATTAAGCATCCTATTACGAAATAGGCAGGTTTTCAATATATACACGTTTTAAAGTAGCACAAGGCTGATATTTCTACTTCTGCTGCTGCTTCTCTATCCAAAGCAAGCCTGCAGGGGAGCCGCTGACAGGATTTTGGTGCTCTCAAACCCCAGAAGCAAAGAATTCGGTTGTCAGTTGTTGTGTTGTTATTTTTCTTTTAACCTGGGGGGAAACCTAAAGATAACCCAAAGGAGCCACTCCTAGGTGACCCCTCAGCATTGCCACATCCAAAATTGAACAGAACTTAGCGAAATAAACACATTTTTCCAGTGATTTGGGCACGGAGCACGGCCTGTGCCTGGGCAGCGCCTCCCGGCGCACACGGGGAGCAGCGCGGGGCTCCCGGACACCCCCTGAGCCCCGGTCCCGGCGGTGGGGGGGGTCCCGCCCCAGCCCCCCCGCCCCGCACTCACCGTGGCTGTCCTTCTGGCCGATGCCCTGCGTGCGGATGAGGGCCGAGAGGCGCCGCACGTCGCCCTTGAAGACGCATTCGTGCACCGGGAAGTGCGCGGGGCCCCTGCCGGGCTCGGCGCCGGGGCCTCCTCCACCTCCTCCTCCTCCTCCTCCTCCGCCAGCCACCGGCGGCGCCTTCAGCGCCTGCGGGCCCGATGCGCGGCGCCCCCCGGCCCTCGCGGCCTTGGCGCGTCCCGCCGTGAAGCCGCCCCCACCGCCCCCGCCGGGCGCCGCCGCCGCCTCCTCATCGCCGGGCCCCAGCAGCCCGCCGCCCGCCTTGCAGGGCCGGTGCTCGCGGCGCACCGAGCGCAGCTTCTCGCCGGTCATGGCCGGCCGCCGGGGAGCCGCTGGCAGCCGCTCGGCATCGCTCCCCTCCTCCTCCGGCCCAGCCCGCAGCCGGCACCGCCCCTCAGGCCCGGCACCGCCCGCACCGCCCCGCCGGGGCCCCGCTCTCAGCGGCCCGGCGCCGCCGCCATCTTGGCCGGCGCTTCTCGCGAGAGGCGCGGCGCGGGGCGAGACCGGCGGCACCGCGAGACGGGCGGGGGGCACGCCCCGGAGAGAGGCCACGCCCCCTTAGCGAGAAGGCCACGCCCCCAACCGGGCAGGCCACGCCCCCTGCTGAACAGGCCACGCCCCCCCTTTTCCCGCCCCGGCCGCGGGGCTGAGGGGGCTGAGGGGGTGAGGATGGGGATGGGGATGGGGATGAGGATGGGGATGAGGAGGAGGAGGAGGAGGAAGATGAGGATGAGGAGGATGAGGATGAGGATGGGGATGGGGATGGGGATGAGGATGAGGATGAGGATGAGGATGAGGATGAGGATGAGGATGAGGATGAGGATGAGGATGAGGATGAGGATGAGGGTGAGGGTGAGGGTGAGGGTGAGGATGAGGAGCTCCGGCTTCAGCACCCGCCGACAGCAGTGTGGCAGCACGGCTGTTTGTAACGAGCAGGGAGTTCTGCACAAGTCACTTTTACAGAATTTCTAGGTTGGAAGAGACCTCAAGATCATCGAGTCCAAAAAAAATTATCCCACATCACTTCCATTCTGCAGTCCCTTGGTCCATCCTGTGAGGTTTCCCTGGGTTTTCTTGTTGCTGGAGGAAACCCAAACCCGTTCCAACAGAGGCTGATGCCGTGGATGTGGCCAGGCCATGGGCACCCCACCATCCGTCCACTATCCGTCCACAAACACCCCACAAGAGCCAGTCCTGCAGGGAGCGCGGCTCTCCTGACGCTCCTCAGGGTGCTCAGAGCTTCACGGTGCCCTTGTAATTACCAAAAGCCAGCCAAGAGCAGGCAGAGGCATGAGGTCACTGTTTACCAGCTTATTAGGGAGCCCCTTATTCAGCCCATAATGAGTGCATTACTAATGGCAACTGCCCTGGAGTTTGCAGCACAGGCAGGTGTCCTCCCTTGCTAGGACTGTGCACCTACAAACCCTTGAGAGATCTGTTTTGTTTTGTTATCTAACAATCTAACAACTTACCTTTGTCGTGTTTGTATTCTCCATCTTCCTGAGCTACTTAACTCACCCCTTCCAAGCACCAGGCAATTTAGATAAAAGTAGGATCAGGTATTGTGACCACGCAAAACTGCATTTTCTGCAGGTTTTTGGGCTGTGAGCCTAACAAAACTTCACTTACGGGATTCCTCGTGCAGGAAGCAAATAATATAGAGCAGTGATTGCTCATGGGTATATTCCTGTAGGAACAACGCCAGCTTTTTCAGTGTGTAAATGAACAGGTCACAAAACAGGGAGGAATAAAAGACTAAAACAAAAAATGTTCAAAACCCAACAGTAGGTAGGAAATAAAAATATATATACTGTAAGTGTGCCTAACATTTAAACTTGTAAAGAGAGCCCAAGCAGAATCTTGAAAACACCCCATGTCAAGAGAAATGCTCTCCTGTTGCTCTCCTATTTCCAAAAGGCAACAGAAATAAATGAAGCCCTGGAGGACACTGGATGGGATTTGCCAGCTGGAGAGAAATTAACTTCTCCTTTTCCCAGGCTGTTCGGAATGGCTGGCTTGGGAGAGATGCTACAAAGCAGTACGCCTGCCAAAGTGACAAAGACCTGTGGAGAAAATGACATTCCACGGGAAAAAGTAGGCAAGAAAATTTCAGACCTTGCAGCCTCAATGGCTGCTTTATAAATTAAAGTATTAATTCCTTTTGGTGAAGAAACTTGGTGACTGAGGGCCCAGCAGGTTCAGAGCAGCGCTTTGAGCGATTTCCGTGGGCATTTCCAACAGGCCTACGGGATGCAGATTTGCCACCAGAGGATTAAATTCGTTCCTAAACTTCATACTTCTGCTCTGGGCTGAAAAACAGGCTAAATGGTGTATTTCTTCCACTCAAATGCAGATTTTCTCTGCACTTCCTCCCAATTTTTACGAAATTATTTAAAGTTCAGCGTTCAGGGAAGAAGCTGTAAGCGTTAGGAGGGTGTTTTGAGAACGTGAGGAGAATCTTTGAGCACAAACACGGCCCCCACACCCCCCCGAGGGCCGCTGGCCGGGCCAATGCGTGGCGGCGGCGAGGCCCCGCCCGCGCCGTGCCCCCCGCGGGGCGGTGCCGGTGGCGGTGGCGGTGGTGGCGGGGCCGGGGGGGGGCCGGCGGCAGTCGGGGCTGGGCCATGGAGCGCGGAGCTGCTCGGGGCTTCCTGGCGCCTTTCGGGCATTTCGCCACGCAGGCCATCCACGCCGGGCAGGAGCCCGAGCAGTGGCGCTCGGGGGCGGTGGTGCCGCCGCTGTCGCTCTCCACCACGTTCAAGCAGCGGGCCCCCGGGCAGCACGCGGTGAGTGCGGGGTCGGGGCCGGGGCCGGGAAGCGGAAGGTGGCGGCGCTGGGGCCGGGGTGACCTTCCACGAGGCTTTGTGGCACCCCCCGTGGGCTGCCCCGAGCCCGGCGGGCACCCCCAGGCACCCCCAGCCTGCAGCAGGGGGCACCGCAGCCGGAGGTGGCTGTGCCTCGTGCTGGGTCCTGGGATAAAGCGTGTGCTGTGGTATCTTGGGCTGTGCTGCTCGGTCCTGTGCTGCTCTATCCTGCTCTATCCTGTGATATTCTGCTCTGTCCTACAATAATCTGTGCTGTTCTGTGCTGTCCTGCTCTATCCTGTGCTGTGCTGCTCTGTCCTGTGCTGCTCTATCCTGTGCTATCCTGCTCTATCCTGTACTGTCCTGCTCTATCCTTCTCTATCCCATGCCATCCTATGCTGTGCTGCTCTATCCTGTTCTGTTCCTTGCTATCCTGCTCTATCCTGCACTAACCTGTGCTGATCTGCACCATCCTGCACTGTCCTGCCCTGTGCTGTCCCGCTCTATCCTGCTCTATCCTGCACTATCCTGCTCTATCCTACAATAACCTGGCTGTTCTGTGCTGTCCTGCTCTGTCCTGTGCTGTTCTGCACCATCCTGCCCTGTCCTGCCCTGTGCTATCCTGCACTGTCCCCTGCTGTCCCACCACACACCCTCGTCCCACAGAAGGCACCGTGTGGCCCCGAGGGCCGCAGGACACCCTGCGCTGGTGGAGGCAGGGGCAGAGGCAGGTGCTGGCAGCTGCACCACGGGCAGGCAGCCGTGGGACGCTTTGAGCTCCCAGGTCTTTGTTAAGGCTGCGTGCTAACAATAGTTCTCTTTCCCTCTGGGCTGGGTGGAACATACCTCTCATTTACACAGATCATGTAAGAGATTGCTTTGATTGGCCTTCCTGATGGAATAAATATTCCACAAGTAGTTTGGGGATGCGTTTTATAAAGCGCTGCAAGTGTTTGCACTGAATGGTCGTGAAGTTTCCCATGGCCGCAGTGTGCGTACGAGGGAAATAACCCAAATTTGCAACACACAAATCAGGATTTGTTCAAACCCCGGGCCTGGGTGTCACGCTTTGCTGCTTGGAGTGTAGGAGTTTTTGCCTTGTGATCTTTGATGCCGTGCAGGATCTGTAACCCAGCCTGCAGTTTGCATAGGGTGAGCAGATAGCTTTGTGAAGACCGCGGGAGCAGCAGCCTCACGGCGCTGCGTTCACGTGCTGGTGATACCGCGGCCGCCTTGCAGGAAGCTCGGTGAGATTCCTGAACGTGATGAAGTTGTCATTAAGCAGAAATCCGGAAAGCACGCAAATACCAAGATGCTCACACAGGTTCTTGGTGCCACAAGTGCACCCTTGCATTATGAATATATATTTTCTTCTTTTTCGGTATTTGTGTAAAAGCTGCTGCACAGAAACGTGGAACCTGGCATGACTGCATGCCAGGGAATTCCACATTGGGGCTTTTGGTAGCTTTTTATCTGGTACAGACTGGCATTTGCAGGTGCCCTATTGCGTCTTTGAAGCAGAGCATCATGGAGATGGGGCACGTTGCTCTGACAGGCGCTGTGTCAGACCAGGGCCTCTTCTCCACAAGTGACTGGAGGCGGAAAAAGTAGGAGAACAGGGCAAGCAATATGAGATGTCCCTCAGTGTTCTCCTAGAAACCATCCTCAGGTTGGGGATGTCCATAAAGGGCTTGGAGACCACTTTGAAGGCATTTCAATTCTTGTCTCAAGTACTGAAGCATTCCTGGCAGCTGCTCAGGTGATCACCAGTCATCACCGGAATTCCAGAGTTAATTTCAGGGGTATGTGATCGGGCTCAAACTACCCAATATTTGGGTCTGAGCGACACGGGTGGCTTCCGCTGAGCTCACCTGGAGCGGAGGCGCTCCTCATTTGGTGGGGCTGGGCCTCCGAGGCATCACGGAGCACTTTGGGGTGCATAATGGGCTTTCCGGCTCATGTAGATTTAAACAACGTGATTAACATCCGCTTAGATAATCGCTGCAACGAGATGAATAGTCAAAGACCAGCGGGTGCTGTCTAGAACACGGGTTCTCCTCAAAGAACAGAGAATTTGTTTTCTCTGAGTTCTTTAATCATTGAGATACAGCCCGTCAATCAACAGCAGTCTAGATTTTCTTTACCTAAAGCTTGATTTTTAAAGTTGTGTGACACTTAAACGTGCCTCAGCTGTCCCAGTTCCGAGGCAGGGCCTTGCAGTCGGTAGCAGCTGAACGCCCGGCCCTTGGCTTTGCCAGCGGTGCGGTGGCCGCCCGGTGCTGCAGCTGAGCTCCAGACACCCCTTTAGAGCAAACCCAGCTTCTGGCTCCAGGGGGAATCAACACAAAGTGTCAGTATCTGTTATAAATTCAGGTAAAGCTCAAATAAATGTCTTGCTATGGCTCGCGGTAGTTTAACAACAAGTAGACTTGACAGGAAGGATGGATCCCAACTGGATGTTGTGTGAGCACAGAAAACCAGCCCGCTGTTACTGGGAAAGGTGGATGGGTAACCTCAGTGCTTGCCAAGAAACCTAGAACTCTTATTGTCCAAAACTTTCTCACAGCTCTCTCTAAAGTTGTATTTCTTTCTTGCTTTCACAACAGGGCTATGAATACAGCCGGAGTGGAAACCCCACCCGGAACTGCCTGGAGAAGGCCGTGGCTGCGCTGGATGGAGCTAAATACTGTAAGTAGTAACAGGTTCCTGAGGGAAATCGTGCATCTCTTGATGGTGGCTATAGTACACGTATCTTGGGGAGACAAGGACACTGAGTCGTCACCAGCTGTACTTCAGCAGCAAGGCTTTCACAGCCGGTGTCTGCTGGTAACGTGTGAGAGCTGCTCGGTGCGGTGCCAGGAGCTTGGTGCTTCTTCAGGAGGCCCAGCTCAGTCCCTGCTCCCCATATCGTGACTTTCTTGCATCATCAAGTGCCTTAGCTAAACCCAAGCATGGTGTTCCCTGTCCTTAAGCTCATCCTCGTGTAGCAGCGCTGAATTCGGTGACATGAGGGTGAGGCAGGCAGCCGCTGCTACCTGCGTTCTTTGTGGGTCACGCCTTGTGTAGAAAAGGCCTGCTGCTTTTATTGAATCTCCTTAGAGAGCGAGATAGCACAGGGGAGAGTGACAGAACAGGTTTCCTTTAAAAGCAAAGTAAAGAATGCAAAGGCAAGTTTGACAAGGTTGTATCATATTAAAATATGGTCTGTCTGCCACTTTTCTCTGGTTTTAGGTTTAGCCTATGCTTCTGGCTTAGCTGCTACTTTGAATATTACTCACCTGTTAAAGGCAGGAGATACAATTATCTGCATGGATGATGTCTATGGAGGTAAGTAAGGCACTAGTGTGTTTTTGATCTTCATTGTGCAAATGATTAAATGTATCTACTTGCATTTCTCCTGAACTTTCTGAATTGATCTAACTTTTTTTTAAAAGTTTTTTGACTTCATGAGAACACAGAACAGTCCTGTCTGAGTCTGGTGGTAGAAATTCAACTTTGAAAAATTCTGCTGCACAATATGGAGGCTTCAAAAATATAGCTAACTAGGAACTGTATGCTATTATGAGGGAAAAATAGCAATATCCTAGCTTTGCACAGATTTGTCTTCAGTCCAACATAGTACAGCTTTCCAGCTTCTGTTATTTCTACTGTTCATTTCTCAGACTTGATCCTTTACCAACCTGCATTTTGGCTGGACTGTTTAAACAACTCTATTCTGTCATCTTCCCAGAATGCAAAACTTGTGTCTGTCATGGCCATGTCTTCCAAATGCAACAGTGACACTGCAGCCCACTAGTAGGTTGTGATCTTGCATATTTTTTTTGAGCCATTCCTCCAAAAATCTCCCCAGTAACAGAGTGTATCCACCTCTTCCAAAGTCCTTCAAAAGGTTGACAGCCACCCAAAAGTCTGCAGTAGGGAAGTCTGCCAGGATCCCCTGCAACTGTCGGTGCCCTCAGTGCCCCACTCTTGTGTTTCACAGACCAGTGAAGCTCATCATCTTCCTTCATTGCCCTCCAACTATTTCAAAACTTTGACACAAAGAGATCAAATCTGCTCTGTTTTCAAAGGAAGGTTGGAGAGGCCAGCAACAAGGAGCGTTTTCCCAAGCAATAGCTTGAAAATTTTCTAGCAAGAGTAACCACCTTTCTCACGGCTAGGAGTGACTGCTGTTTGCCAGCCAGTTCTGTATGCCTGTGCACATCAAACAGAAACACACACATTTGATTTTCCCATCTGAGCTCTGTCATGCCAGATAGCCCTTCTCCAAAGGACACCTGAAACCAAGCTGAGTGAAGACAGCAGAAACCCCTACTCAGCAGTCTGCGCCGTTCGTTCCAGCCCTCCCACCGCGGAACTCAGTAAATCAAAGCAATTTGGTCAAAGCATTTTATCAGTCCCTCACTCCCAAAAGGCCCATGGGTGCAGTTTTCCAGCAAAACCAGTTCACCCGTTCATTAAAGGCCCAGCCTACAGCAGTTTTGTAGTGATGAATTTCACTGTAAAAAGCCTTGTTGGTTAGGATGGCCGTACTGTGCTTGCTAAATCAAGTGAGTCCCCAGTATTCAAGTTTGTCAGAAGAACAGAAAAAAAAACTGAGAAGCTCTCAAGGGCCATGGTGGAAAGTATATTGGCTGGGATAAGCTTAGGAGATGCTGAGTTTTGGGATGCGTGAGGAGGAGCTGGAGGAAGTTGACACCTCTGAATTCTAGGCCACTGATGTAATTTTTAGAAGGGCTTCCTTCAGTGTAACCACTCATTTCCAACAAACGTTTTGTGTGGTGGGCTGTTATTAAAAGTACATAAAACTACTACAAAGCAGCTTTTCTGTGGGTTGTGTTTGTAGAGTTCACAGCCTATGTGAAAATTTCCTGTGCTTGAATAAGCTCCCTACAACACAAGAGAGAAGCCAGTATATAGTTTATTGTAGAAATTCAAGTATTTTCTAAAATAAAAATCATTCACACAGTGCTCAGACAGAATCTAACCCTGCATGTCCTATGCCTTTATGGCAAGATGGCAGCTGACATTCTGCAGAAGTGAATAAATGTTGAATAACCTTGGCAGAAAGACCTAACAAATTAATTTTTAATCCAGGCTGTGTTGCCAGGTGGTCAATATGTTACATATCTAGTGATCAATGAGCATTTTTTTTTTCTTATAAGCTTTCCAGGGAAAGGCTTCCAAAAGAAAGGAAACAGAAAGGAACAGAAAGGAAGGAATAATCAATTTTTTAAGTTCTTCATTACATGCTAACTTAACAGAATGATAAGCAACACAGTATCTGGAGTCTACCCCTTGATTCTTCCTCTCCCAAATTTTTTACTAAAAAGAAGGAAGACCTTGAAAGTACAAGATCGAATAAAGTTGTCATTGTATCCAGGGTCGGTGAAAATTGAAGTAAAAACTGCAAGCGCTTGCTTGTGCATACCAAAGAGCTGGAAGAACAGCACCTAGTGACTGTGAGCGCTTGCTCGGTTGCCAGCAAAAGGATTTCATTTTCTGTTTTGTTTTCCAATCAAAAAAAAAACAACAACAACAAACAAACAAAAAAACTGAGCAACTATTTGTTAAAAGTACTTCATAATCAGCATGATTCCCACTTTTCTTTTTCTATGTTTAAAAACACAAGCAATCTTTAGAGGCTTCAGAAATAAAATAATACTAATCAGCCCTTTGTAGCGTATGGCACAAAACCACACACTGCTGATTTTCTGTGGATGCATGCAAGAGACTGGAGGTCAGTGAAGGAAAGTTAGGGAGATTGTTTCACTTTGTGTCATTTCTCTCCCTTTTCTTTTTTTAAAGGTACAAACAGGTACTTCAGGCAAGTAGCCATGAAGATGGGTATAAATGTAGTTTTTGTTGACTGTACAAAATTGAAACAGCTGGAAGCTGCAATTACACCAGAAACTAAGGTAGGGGAGAGAAAAAAAAAAACTAAGCTTATTTGCTTAATGTTCTTAAATAATGTTATTGGTGCTACTGGTGGATTGGGTGTATGTGGCAATGTTTTGGCAGTGGCGAGGGCACGGGGTGGCCTCTGTGGGAGGAGGCTGGGGCACAGCTGCAGCGGCCCCACCACAGACCAGAGCTGTGGTTAGTGGAATAGCAGTTGTCATAAGAAAATGAATAAGCAATGCTTTGGGATGGTGCTAGTCGCTCCTGTTATGTTTAAAAGCCCTTATGACTTCTAAATTAATTTCTTAAAATAAAGATGTAGTGTTTGTGATGGTGGAACTGATGATAAGAAAATTATCCTGAGTGATACAGATGGTGATGATAAATGATGAGAAAAGTAACCTGTGTTTATGTGTGGAGAGAGAAGCCTGGATATTCATGCATTGCTAGTTTTTTAGACTGACACCCTTAAAAATACATAAAAGAGAGGAAAGGTTTGCTTTGCACACTGCATTATGCATGTATACACGTAGCAGAGATAGTACCAGCACTGTTGTATCTCTAAACCGATGTTTTGTATTGTTGAATCACTACAGCTTGTTTGGATTGAAACACCCACAAACCCCACGCTGAAGGTCATTGATATTCAGGGCTGTGCCAATGTTGTACATAAGCATAAGGATGTTCTTCTGGTAGTAGACAACACTTTTATGTCTGCATATTTCCAGGTAAGTGCCTTTGTTTATAATTACCGCATTATTTCAGTATATTCAAAGATGCATTTTTAAAATGGAGCCACTGCCAACAAACTGTGGTTTTGATACGTGTGTTGTAAATTGCCTGTCCTGCTTCTAAATACAACCAATGCTCTGCTCCTCTCTAAATTAGCAAAGATGGCATGCAAAGTATTTTATAGCTAGCTATACACCAGTCTGATACCGACAAAAACAACATAGCTTAGAGGTTAAGTAAACAGTTAAGCAATCAAGAAAGTAAGTTAAGCCACTGGGAGAAAGGCTTCTCTGTCATTCAAAAGTCACAGATTTGTTAGATCTAGCTGATGGGAATCATAGCAGACCTGTTAAATAGTGTACTGTTTTCTACCTTTGCTCTTTTTCTACCAGTTATTTTATATGTGCTGTTCATGATCTGTACCATACCACCTGGTATTCCAAAAAGGAAGTGGAGAAAAAAGTTAAAATAAGCAAAATATATTGACTGTGTCTCTGAGATTATTAAAGTTACATTTTTCTTTAATATTTTGATGAATGTGTGGCTTAAGATTGTAATTTTGACCTCAGACAACTCATTTAAGAAAAGGTTGGATGTGGTATTTAGGGATACGATTTAGTGTGTAATATTGCTGGAATGGGGATGGTTGGACCAGATGATCATGGAGGTCGATCATCTTTTTGATTCTATGATTTATTTTTTTCTGCTTTTATAACTGGAGTACATGAAGTAAAGGCAATTTTTAAAATTCTAAAACTGTCTTGATAAGAAACTTCAAAGTCTTGTTCATCTTAACATGGGCTAGAAATATCCCTGTGTGTTTCCCTGGAGACCAACCTATTCCCTTATATTTTAGGTCTAAAGAGAAACTTATTTTGGAGCACAAAAGGAAAGGTGTCTGCTTTTGTTAATTTACAGAGAACTCAGTGTCCTTAACAGAGCCTTTTAGAAGGCATTAATGCTTAGCTAGAGCAGCACTCGAGTTTGTCTTGCACATACCAAAGGCTTTCTGATTTTTTCAACCTTTATTTTATTTCTGAAAGATGTGTGTGAAAGAAGAAAATTGAGCATCTGGATATGTGAGCTAGTTAATGTATCTTTTATTGGCCTGCTCCTAGGAGAAAGTGAGTTGTAATAATTAGGCCTAGTAAGCGTAATAGGTAATGTCTTTAAACTCCTCCAGACTCCTGCTGATACACTGTACTAAGAAAATCATAATTTTAGAGTGGTTTGTATAGTAATATTGAATGTAAAAGGCACTGGTGTTTATGCTACCATCCTCTTGGCTGCACGTTGGGAATGCACATTATCCATGTTCCCTGAGTAGACTTACGTGCTTCAGCTGACAGCAGCGTTCTTTTATTCTAAATCTGCTTGCTTTATCACCCTTTAATTTATTAGTACTCTTCAGTCCTTATAATAAGTTTATATTATACCACAAAGTCCTTTACTTAGTGACTAATTTAGAAAGAAGATTGTTCATTACTTCTTGCCCATCATCATCTTGGTTTGTCTCTCCCCTTAAAAAGGCTTCTGTGAGGAAAGCTGAGTGCCTTAGAGAAGAGAGACTTGGCAAACCAACCCCTTTGTGCTCTCTGCAGGTGTTCAGTTGTTCTTTTAATGCAGTATCACCCATACTGATCTCCAGAGAACTCTGAAATGTTATAATTTTTGTGGAGGCCTTCCTCTTTTAAGGAAATATACTTTAAACATCATTACTTCTCCCTGCCCCAGCTAAGCAATATAACTATTTTTTTTCCTGTGTGAACATGCTGCATGTTAGCTGCATTCACTTCATTCTAATTGCTCTATTCCCTCACTAAAGCCAGTGAGAATTAGACCAGTGTTTTCAAATTGTGTTTTATTTATTATGGGTTCTTTTATTGTGCTTACCATGAATTGAGTGCCTTCCTGTGCTGCTGCTTTCTGTCTCACGTTCTGTCTTGCTTCATTCTCAGCTTTTGTCTTTTGTGTTAGGATTTCTGTGTTTTTCTCTTAGTTTCTCTTTCTAGTGTTACTTTCTGTGTTTGATCACAGTGTTTCTGGATAGCTTGAAATGAACCAGAGGGCAAAAATAAGTTTAATCAGACCTATTATTTTCATATCGTTTTAGCGTCCATTGTCCCTGGGGGCTGATATTTGCATGTATTCTGCAACCAAGTACATGAACGGTAGGTACTGGAATTCAACACGACTCAGGCTGGTTATTTAAAAGCTGTTCCAGCTACTGTTGAGCCTTTCTGCATTCACCTCTTGAACCTCTTCCATGTGTGATGGAAGCTTTTAAACTCCTTTTGCTACTGATAAATCTGCACATAGCTATTGCCAACTTGCTGCTAATGGCACCGGCGAGTGATGTTGTGCAAACACGGTTTGCACTGTGATCATGCCCAGATGGTTGGCCTTAATGAGGAGAACAAATCCACAAGATGAGGTTGTGTTTTTCAAACTCTGGCTCCCCCCAAGTTCAGCTGGTCTTACAGACCTATCTAGGGCAAGAAAAAGCCAAAAGTGGGGTTTGGAAATGCGCCATGTTCATACAGCTGTAAAACCAAATGCAAGGCTTTGTACAAGGTAGCTGCCGGAAATTATATCGAAGTTCAAGGGAGTTTATATGGCAGTGCTGGAGCCTGTTCAAAAGCACGTTCACTTCCCAGACAATCCAGACTAAGAGGTAGCTCGGCTGCGGTGGCTGCGCTGTAACCACACGTCCGCTTGTGGTGCAGATAAAAGTGGAAGCATTCTGGCTGGGGTTTGCTCTCGTTAAACAGCAGGCGGCTGCTGCTGCCCCACAGGAGCTCAGCGATGTCTGTACAAAGTCCTGCTTTCTGGCAGCTAGCTGCAGCGGGTTTGGTAGGCACCTGGGGGCATAAGGGCAGCGTGCAGCAAAGCACACCGCCAAGGTGAGCCTCAGAAAAAACAAATCTGCCTATGATTCATGTGAGGGTGCAACTGTGGTAATGGACGGACAGCTGTGGTAATGAGAAGGAATCAAGGGCCTTGCCAAAATGGGGCTCTTTTAGCACTGAGGCTGAGAAAAAGAGGGGGTTTGTGACAGAACCCTGGAGCAGATAACTTTGTTCTTACGTTCTCCTTGCATTTTTAGGGCACAGCGATGTTGTAATGGGGCTTGTTTCAGTGAACTGTGACGACCTCTACGAAAGGCTCAAATTCTTACAAAACTGTAAGTAGTCAATATAGGAAATACCTTAAAATCTATGTAATTGAATATACTGGCTCATAGGAGGAAGCATGGTGCATGCACGCAAGTACGTGCTCTGTGTGTCATGCAGCAGGGCAGGAGATATGGCACACACAGAAAGCAGCAGGTGCAGGGCAGCTCACATTTCTCCCACGAACAGCACCTGTGGTTACGTGTCTTGTTCTTCTGTGGAAGAAATTTAGGAAATTAGGACGGCATTTCGTTTTACTGAAAAATAAAGCCCTCTTTTTTTCATGTGTAACTTTGTGTTTCAATTTCTGCAGCTCTTGGAGCTGTCCCGTCTCCTTTTGACTGTTACCTGTGCAACCGTGGTTTGAAGACACTGAAGATCCGGATGAATCAACATTTCCACAATGCCCTAGCTGTTGCTCGGTTTCTTGAGTCAGATTCCCGGGTGGAGAAAGTCATTTTCCCTGGTAGGTTGGCAAGGCTTCAGAGCGGGTGGCGTCCTGGCGTGGGGCTGGACGTGGGTACTGCAATAGTACGTGTCGCTTGCACACTCCTCACGTCTGATGACTCTCAGTTAGGTGTCTGCCTTGGCAATGGCCCTTGCATTCCTTTCCAGCTGAAGGATGTTTTTACGTAGTTCAGGGGGAGCTGCTTTACTCTTTGAAGTGATGTTAAATAACTTACAGCAATTCCTACAAATTTCAGGATTGCCTTCACACCCTCAGCATGAGCTGATCAAGCGGCAGTGCACTGGCTGTCCTGGGATGATAACCTTTTACATTAAAGGAAATCTTGAACACGCTACTGCCTTTCTCAACAATTTAAAGGTAAATGACAGTAAATATACTCTGCCCTAAGGGGAATTGAATCTGTCTCTCTGAGTGCGATGATGGAAGCAAGTGGGGCAGGGAGCCTTTTTTGTTGGGGCAGGGAGTCTTCCTCTGTACTTTTAAAGCTCCTAATTTCTTTTGGGTGTAACCATCTCTAAATAATAGATTATGCATAAATGCGACACTAATGAGAGGGAAGAAAAGGGTGCTTCAGCTCATTTGAGGTGTCTGTTTACACGGAATGATGTAGCATTTCCAGGTTAGCCCAGGCATTGCTCCTCACAAAGAGCTGACATACCAGCCTTTTGCAATTACCCCTAGTATTTGAAAGCAGAGAAGCTGTGGCTGGTGTAATACTGCTGTAATATTTCAAAGTACTTGTCAAGAGAAAAAGCCATTGAGAAATGACATGGATCGTGAAGCAAAGAGGGAGTTCCTCAATTTGGAAAATAGTTGTTTATTTTACCTGAACCGTAGGAATTTTGCTTTTGTCTTTGTAATACACTAGTTCTGCCTGTATGCTTTCATGTGTTTCCTACTCTGTGTCTCTGGTTAGTGTGCCTCCCGCTCTTGCACTTTTTTTGTTTTGCTCCTGGAAAAACAAATCAGTAATAATTGACAAGATGAAATGGAACTTCTGTCTGCTTTACCAGTTAATATCGTCAGCTGAAAATGGATATACTAAAACTACAATTTTCCCACAAAATATTCTTTTGCCTGAGTGGTCCTGGTGCATGAAATCACCCAGCTTTGGCAACAAGCACCATGAATTACATTGCAGAATAATTCCATGTGATATGGTCACTTCACTAGCCATCAGTTCGTCACTAGGTTGATACAGAAGCGTTGTTGAGGGCAGTAAATGCATTCACAGCAGAGGAATTGTGCGTACGTATTTGAGTGCAGTTGACTCTCTAGAGAGCCTTTTTGACATCCGCAAATATATATGCCCGTAATTTAAAGATCAATGCTAAAAAATACCACTTAACTAACAGCAACCATTACTCAGAGGTGTCCTTTTAGGCACTGAGAAATTTAAGCTGTTTTTCAAAACACTGAACTAGCCTTCAGACCCAGGGAAGAATGAGTGGAAAAATCAGTGCAGCCTTGCGGGAAGAATCGTAATTTCCAGCCCCCAACCCCTCCCCACCCAAACAAATCTGCCATTTGGCAGCTCTGAAAAGCAGAGGTGTCACCTGTGAATATGGGTGAGCGCTGCTGGTGCTGGAAGAAGAGTATGGAAGGATAGGTTATAATCACTTAAACATTAATTGAAAATTTGGGGATCTGAGACTATTTTCTTCCCTCAGCCTGCTCCATCCTCCTTCTGACCAGAATGAGAGCTCTGGTGGTGTCCAGGCAGCCTCTGCGCCCTAATGTTTATTTTCCCTTCTGCTCTTCCTGTGTTGCTGACTGTGCTGTGTGATATAGGAACTAATTCTAAGTTGTATTTGCTCAGCATGGGCATGTTTTAATTTTAGTTTTGCATTAGCATCTCTTTAGAGCCATTTTAGGCATACTTTACTTTGAATCTTAATAACTCTTAACTGCTAAATGTATACTTCTTTTCCCCTTATTATAACTGACACCTTTTAAAATACAAAAGTTACTGTAGAAGAAGAAATAGAAAAAAATCAGTAGTACTAAAAATGGAACTTCCTTGTTCTTTCACTGTCTAAGTATTTGTAACCTTACACTTTTTATGTTAACATCTGTTTACTGTTTTCCTGCAGGTTTTTGCACTGGCTGAGAGTCTGGGAGGATATGAGAGCCTAGCAGAGCATCCGTAAGTCATTCTTCATCCTAACAGTCTGCGAGAAGCTTCAGAGTAACAAAAGAGTTCCTGGCCTATTTTTATGGGAGTTCTAAAATTTTCTAGGGTACTAAGCTAAGACAGTTTGCATATAGTTGAGATACAAGAATACTGTGTTGTACAACACAAAAGCCAGTGTCTACTGCAGAAACGTCTGTGGCTTTTGTGAAAATCAGTTTTGTGCTTTGGCTGGAGCAGAAGTACAAAGACCTCCTTAGTACGAGAGAGGAGCTCTGTGTTTTCACCCCTGGTGAAGGAGTCAGAGTGGTGTGAGGTGAACGTGCAGACCTGTGGTTGCAGAGAAGTCTGCACTGCTGCAGGCACTGTGGGCAAGGGCTGGGTGGTTCCCCTGCTCCCTGCCCACAGCCTGGGAATTGGCTGTAGTCACCCATCTGCCAAGGCGGGCGTCAGATGGGTGCAATTCTTCCCTGCTGTGGGCCTCTTCCACAATCACTTGTTAAAAAATCTCAACAGCAAACACAACCAGCAATAGGGGAGGAAAAAGTGCATGTAGTTTAAGTAACATGTATACCTCTGTCCTGTCAAAGCCAAACTGCTCTGCGCTGCCTTTCAGCGTCTCTAGTGAAATGTGGCTGTGTGGCACCAGCTTCTCAGAGCTGTGTTATTTATTTGCAGTCTCCGCACACACACACACAAATGGCACTACCCAGTTACAGTAAACAGGCTGTTCCAAACCTACTGCGGAGAGGTAAGAAGGACGCAGTGCTCTAGTAGGAGCAGAAGAGGAGCAGCCCCTGGAAGCTGCAGCGTCTGCAAGGGCGCAAAGATGGCCTGAGCTGCTCCGCTTGTCTCTGTCTTCTTGGCTAACTCTCTTGGCTATAACTAGACCTGCGTTTTAAACAAATATCAAGGCAGGTTCAGCAACGGTCACTTTTCCATTTCCTCAGAATTGCTTTATGGTGCCACTGGCTGCGTCCGGAATTACCGGATAGCTCTTGGATCCGTGGAACAAATTGTTCCATAAGCACTGTAAATTTTAGCAAGGCTTTTACACTATTTTCAGCAGTACTACCGCTAATACTTTCCACACTTCCTCGGTTTTGCTGGGAGACTGAGCTGCAGTTTATGATTATGGTCACAATTCCAAGTAATCAGTGTGGTTTTGAATAAGTAGAATTGAGTGGATTTGATCCCGCTTGTGCGGGCAGAGCCCTGCCGTTCTGGCAGCTTACACAAGAGGGCATATTCGGTATGTGGCTCTGAACGGTGTCTGTCTTCACGTCAAGCAGACCGTGGGGATTTTAGTAATACTTGGTTGCTGCTGTCTAGGTTAAAAGGCTAAAAATAGGATTTTTATATAATTAGATTATTTTACTGAAATCCAATTTGCTTGTCAAAAAATACAAGGAAAGTTATGACTAAACATATTCTAAATCGTTTCAGTTTCTCATTTTACAATAATAGCAAATCTTTAAATACTGAAGGAAGTGCCAAGTGGTGGATGTCAGTGACTGAGCACACGGGAAAAAGAGCTTCTTAGCTATTTCCATATATCCTCCGTAGCTGGGGAAAATAAACTCTTCATCTTAAATGGTGTAGTTTGATGAGTGATCTTAGAAACCAGAAGTTAAAAACAAGTAACGGGATTTTATATGGGATGCTGTATGCTGTAGATCTTTCTCCAAACCATTAAAATAGAGCTTTTAAATACTCCGTACCAGAAAATTTAAAATATATCTGGAAGGAAGAGAGAGATGATTTTTTTTTCCCTACTTCCTTCCAGATTCTTAAATATCCACTTCGTACTTATCATTTGTAGTTTGGAATATACTGTGCTGGCTGGAAGATAAAAGCCACTGACTTCCCTGCAGTTGACATAATTTGCATAATTTGATGATAAGATCCCTTTCAATCTGTGGCTCTCCAGCAGGTTGTACATAAAAGGTATAAAGTTTTAATGGAATTACAGGGAATGCTGGCAGGTAACCAATTTGATTGATCTTTGCCAATAAAAATAAAATGTCTTAGAAAAAATGCTGCTTTTAATTCTTCTTCCAGAGCCATCATGACTCACGCGTCAGTGCCTAAGGAAGATAGAGATGCTCTTGGAATCAGTGATACATTAATTCGTCTGTCCATTGGTTTGGAAGATGAAGAAGATTTACTGGAAGACCTAGATCAAGCTCTGAAAGCTGCAGTAAGTTGGGTGTTGACTTAGTGCCATCACTCTACAAATAATTTCCTCTCTAATCCTCTCCCTTCCTCACTAATGACACGTGAGCTCTTTCATCATTTATGCTGAATCTCAGGAATAAGTTAATGAACAAATGCAGCAACTGTTCTCTTGGTATACCTTGCATCACTTAACTTTCAAATTACTTTTAAATAGTAAAAAAAATACAGAGTGCATGTGTGTTTTTAAAGCTTTCATCATTAGCATTCCCTTTGCAGCAAGGTTTGTGATCCTTGTCAGTCACGACTGAATGTGATGTGGATGTGATGTGATGTTCATGTAGATTCCTGCTGCAAATGGGATATCCCTGGAGCCTGAGTGATGGGGATAGCTGCTAAAGTCAACCTGAATGGAGACTTGTGTAGGCATCAAATTGCTCAATAGGAGTGTTTGCACTACCCGTTTTTCACGTCAAGTTTTTTGAGAGCATTGAAATACATCGAGCAGCTTCAAAAGAGCCTCCATCAGACTCCAATATTTGAGTAACATTTGTTGCTTTACAAGTACAATTTCTACTCAAGTACTACTTCTACTCCTCTATCCAAAGTTCTGTATTTCAGACAGTAGATTAAACTGTTCTTTACATGTGGTAATTAATGTGATGCCATATCATGTCTTCTTAAGGCAGATCTCCTAAAGTATGTGAGGTGTATGTGTGCTGGTAGAGGAGTACACTGACACACATATGTCCAAGGGAGAAATTAATGAAACGTTTCTTGACTTTTGGTCATACACAGATTTTTGCTGTGCTTGAGATGGGCTAATATGGTGACTAAAGGATTAATGTTTCTTTGCAAAAAAATAAATAATTTACATCATTCTTTTTCAATGGAATGAACTAGACATAACTGAAAAACAAGGGATGAGCACCTGACTTTAAACCAGTCTGATGGTTGGTTCCCTTTTGGAAACTGCCAAACTGCAGACTTGAAGTTTGATGCACCAGTATTTCAGTGCAGAATATGCTATGTTGTACTGTACTTTGTACTTGTCACGCTGCAGCTTATCAAAGGCCTTGCCAATGTCTTTGGTTCTGCAGTAGCAGATAAATTGTTAGGCGGGTTTCCCGGATGATTCTAGGAAGCAGGCCACATCATCTGCAAGGTCCTTTCCTTTCCCCAGAAGGAGGCCCCTGACTGTCTGGCATGAAGGAGAGCTCCCCTTGATGTGAAGTCTCATGACAGCTTTAGATCTGAATGTGTGACCAAGACATGTGAACCAGATGCCCTTGAGCTTACCCAGGCACTCTACCTTAATCTCTAATTTTGCCTGTTCTCCAGAGCTTCAATGGAAGGCTAAAATCCTTCCAGCCTTCATAAGCTTAATTATGTGCTGGGAAGAGGAAGGGGAATTTCCTCCTGATCCCAACAGAGAAGAAACAGAGCCCAGAGGTGTGGGATGGCTGCAGGCAGTGTGTCAGCCAGCCCTTCCAAATGCTGCTGGAGATCTCAGGACATCCATTACTCGAGGATGTGCACTAGATCTTTGATTCTAGATACAAGCTTAGTTTTTGTTCTCAGAACTGCCAACTACTGTCACATAATTCCACCCAGAAAATTTATTATTCTCTCAATATTTATTAGCTTTTAGATTCCTCTCCCAAGTATTCTGTGTGCCTGATACAGAGGTTTACTCCTGGAAAGTCAAAACCTTTGATTTACAAGATCAGAATAGACTCCTAATCTGTTTGTATCCACTTGATCACGCATTGTTCCCACCCAGGCAAACACAGGACATGTTCCTGCCATGCTGTGAGAAAGTTTCACTGGGGCAGCACGCACTGTGCCCTGGCAAGTGTTCTCCTCCCTCCTGAGATCAGCAAGGGATTGATGAGAATGAGAGACCCCAGGCAAACCAAGGAGTGCAGCAAAGCCCATTAAGAGGGGCCTCAACAATATTGGAATGAAGTTTAATTCAAAAACAGACTAAAACAGCATGAGCTTTCCTTCTTCCCTTCTCCCAGCTTGTGCTTTCTCCCTGTTGGAGCACCATAGCTCTTGTTGGTTTGTTGGTTTGTTTGCTTCTACTGGCAGTTCTGTGGATTTGGTGACTCCTCAGCAGTCCTTGCGATGCAGAGGACAGAGTTTAGTCTTTAGTGGACTTTGACTCAACTCTAAGTTAATGGCCAAAGTAGAACTGGGTTCAGCACTTATTTTCCTCTGCCACTTTGGTTGGTAGGTACACAAAAAAAGATTTAGAAAAATAAAGGTTTTTGAAGTATAGAATTTTGTCTCTGTATGAGAGAACGTGAAGGTATTGGTGAGTAAAATACAAATTTGAGTCTTGCACCGATTTTAACAGACGTGTAGTAGTTCGGTGTACTGTACAGTCAGGAAATTATTACTTTTCTCTAACTGGTGATAGGGAAAGTCAACAAAAATTAGCATCAGTCAGTACAGACCATGAAGACAATCTAATGCTAAACCGTATCCTTTTTATGGAAAATGAAAGAAAGGTGCATGGTCAAAATAGGTGTACAGCCTAATTATATTTTTCCTTCTTATTGCAGTTCCCAGACCATAATGCTTTGAAGTGACAACTGAAAGCTGAAGTTGGACGTTAGAAATCGAAACATCTAAAGAAGATGACACGGAAAGCCAAATTGCTAACAATTTTTCTTTGATTTGCCTTTGAGAATTGAAATCTGTTCAATCAAACTCTGGATGCCTAGGGAGTTCTCACTTTGTACCTTGTGTCTGGCTGTACGTTGCTGTGCACCATGGCACGTAGCCTGTGGTCTCCCGTGTGTCTGTTTCTGCTGTATTGTAATCCTCTGTCTTTGGAATTTATGGGGTCAGTAACGCGTGTTTGAGAGCAGCCGTGATACACACTCAGGAATATTATCTTGGTTCTCTCCAGGAAGATGAATGTTGCTCATTTGTCTTGCTAATGCTGCAAGGGTATTAGGTCAGTAGGGTTTGTTTCTGTTACTGCTCTTCAGGATGCAAAATTATTTGTTCTCATCACTTCTAATCCAACGGTCCAACTTGAATTATGTTGATAAAATTCAGATTTTTAAAAATCAAGTATTGAAATGTGTAGTACTTTTTCACCCCATGATATCGTATGGAGTATTGAAACTAAATCCAATACCTGGTAAACAATGGTAGCTTTTTAAAGGTGATTCTCTGACTCAAAAAAAAAAAATAAAATCATGTAATGCTAATTGTACTAATGATTTGGTTTATAGTTAGAATTGGGATCGTTTTGATTAAAATACGCTTTTGATTTCCCTGATGTATTACTTGTTTTGACAGTTGAGTATGCTACTTGCATTCAGAATCGGTTGATAAAATAACCCTGGATCTGTTTATATTCTTCTAAGGCAAATGATGTCATTAATATTTTTGCTTTTGCCAAGAAAAAGAAATATAAATTCCAATGTATAACAACTTATCCTGCAGGCTGCAATACTCAGGCAAGCAAGGATTTCTCTTGGACAGGAGACGCTGTCTCACAAAGAGGCGTTTATTCACAGCTGAATGGTTTCCTGCACGGGAGCTGCTGGTGCTTTGAGCTTCGGCAGGTTGAGGGGCCTGTGTGTTGGTCCCTGGGGTCAGGAGGGCAGCGTGGGTACTGATGCTAACACCAGTCAGCTCCGTGGTGTAAGTGAGGAGCAGAGCATTGGGCGCTGTGCTGGAGGAAGCTGTAGCTGGCCCCAGTGCAGCCACCGAGCCCGGCCCTGCCGTCCTGGACCTGCTGCCAGTTGTGGTCCCTAGGGCAGGTGGACCTGGGGCTCCCACCCCACAGCTGGAACCCACCAGCAGCCTCGGGAAACTGCCTGCTTGGGGTGTGGGGTTCTTTCTCTGAGAATGGGAACTGATAGGGAATGCCAGCTCAGTGACTTTTCCCTCATCAGCTAATGAAAAGCTGAAAGTCTGGATGAAACCCTTCAATTTGCATCTCGGCCCTAGAAGTGTTTTGTATGATTCATTCTTGGGGAACTTGTCTCTAAGGTATGGGAAACACTGCAGATAGCTTTTCATTGACTTCTACAGGACAAGCATTGTTACCATGCTGTAAGGATTTTTTTATATATTTTTTTTTTACTCTAAGCAGCAGATTTGTATTAATTTCTGTGGAAAAACTTTGGCAAGTAATTTTTTGCATACGTAATTATGAGTTCAGCTTTAGCAATATTGGTTACCCTGGGTACCTAGAAGATCGACCAAGTACAACCATAGGATTATTCACTCTTCCTTTTATTTCCTTCTTTTTGTTTTGGCAAAGATAACAGGGGGACAAAGTGCTCCACTACTTTCATTCTTTTCATAATGCTTCCCACCCTTCATAATTCGAAAAAAGATGAGTGGCTGGCTTGCACAGACGTTGTTTTTACTTGTTAAGAAGTGATTATCATATACAGACTGTAAGATTTTTTTAGCTATCTTTTATACATTAAAAAAGTGGGTGTAGAATAGATGACTTCTATGAAAAAAAACATTCAACTCTGGCAAACCAAAATTTCATAATCTAGGACAATGATTAGAGCTGTAAAAAAAAGGGGGGGGGGAGGGGGGTAGGAAAAAAAGAGAAGCATTGGCATGATTAAGGATTTTCCTTATATTTTATATTGACCACTGTTGCCTGCTGACTCATGGAAGCCCTTGCATTCAACCTGCATTTAACCAAACCATCGTGATGATGCTTCTGAAGTGTGAGTCACGCAGCAGGAAAAATAAACTAGCACACCAAGATAGAACCCGGGGTGTTGAGACTGCTTTCTGCATAGATGAGCAGCGAGCTTTTGCTGCTCTAGAAGATGTCGGCCGGGTTCGTGTTAGTTTTTAATTCTTTTCTGCAGCTTGTGATAAGTATTGCCTCCTCCTTTCTGAAGGAGCTGTGAGATGCCACAGATGGAGCCTGGCAAAGGGGGTAGGGGGCATGCCAGGTGTGTTTTATGGTTGCACTGCTTTCTTACCCCATTCAGCCTTCACGTTCCTGGTCTGAGGCCAGCTACCTGTGGGTTCCTTGCCGAGGCTGTTTTTCAGAGGGACCCACGCAGGTCAGGCTGAAGATGCTCTGCAGTTGCTTATGTTCCTCTGTGCCGGGTTTGCACCCTGTGCTGCTCAGACTTCACCGCTTTAAGCTCCGGCTTTCCTTCCTTTTGCATAGTTTTTAAACTGTCAGCAGTCACCTCTTTTTTAAAGCTGCCCAGCCTTCTTGCCCAGCTCTGCCTCCAAGCGTCTGGGGTGGCCTGAAGCGCTGGGAGCAGAACCGCTGCTGGACGGCGCCTCTTTAAATAAAGACTTCTACTTGTTGTAATTAAAGCTAAGACTGCTTTCTGCACCGGGTCAATACTGGAGAACAGAGCACACGCAGAACCCTATCAACCTGTCTAGGCACTGAGCCTTTTGAGCAGCAAACAATTACATGTATTGACACTCAAACAGAGCAGTCTGGATTATCTAGAATGATTAAATGGAGATTAGGTCTTGGGAAAACTGAGACGAAGGCCTGCATGCCTGACAAATGTCTTACTTATTTGCATTGCTGAGTACATCATAAAAGCATGTGCAAAATGAATAAAATGCTCTGTGGGGGGTAGGCTGCTGGATGGTGTGAAAACCAGGAGATCTTGAGAATTTTTCAAAAAATTCACAGCTGGTGCTGAGCAGCCTCAAAGCCATCGTGATCGTGCGGTGTGAGCTGCTTCCCATCCCCGTGAAAACCATCTCCTGTTCCGCATTAACCTCTAGCTTCACTGTTCGTGCTTGTGGTTACAGCACTTCTCAACTTTCTGGCCGGACTCTGTTCCCAGCCAGGAGAGTTTTTGTAGGGTCTTTGCTATCGTTAGGAGCGGTGGATGCAGCAGTGTGAGCGATGAGCTGAGGAGGCAGGTGGGTCTGTGTGAGAGGAGCTGGGGGCAGCGGGAAGGCCATGGGGCTCTGCCCCTTCCCGGCAGCACCGGGCTGGATCCCGGAGCTCCCTGGCCTGCAGCTCACTGCCTTCCCCTTCCCAGGAGATCAGGAACCAGAAATGTTTCCATCATTCTTCCTCCATGTAATACCCATGACCGACATTTCCAAACTCAGTCACAAAAGTCAAAGTGCGGTTTCACAGCAATGTTGGACATGGCAGCTCCACGTGGGAGCAGTCCCTGGGATTATTATCGGGGCAGGAGCTGTGTGAAAGGGGGGCACAAGTCAGAGCAGCAGGAGCAGCCGTCCCCACACTGTCCCCATGCCATCCCTGTGCCACCCCACTGCAGGCATCTTGCATGGCCGGGCTCTGGGTATGGCAGCGGAGCAGTGGAGCTGGTGCTCCCATCTGGTCCATGCCCAACGATGCCACCTAATGATCTTAAATGAGATTTAGGGCATTTGTGGTGCCGATCTGTGAGGCCCCGTGGCAGTGAGTTCAGCAACACCTGCAATTGTAAAGCATGTGGAACAGCGCTGCCTTTCTTAACTTTTCTCCTGCTGCTGTTGGCACTTTCAGTCCCTTCTGGCTTATCTTTTTTTTTCGGAAGTGCTTGTCTTCTGGGAAGTTTTAAATGTGGCTGTTGAGTCACCGCCCCTGAGAGTCTTTAAAAGACGTCCAGATGTAGAGCTTAGAGATATGGTTTAGTGGAGGACTGGTTAGTGTTAGCTCAGAGGTTGGACTCGGTGATCTTGGAGGTCTCTTCCAACCTAGAAATTCTGTGGTAAAACACCTGAGCAATGAAGACTCCTCCCTTCCCCTGAGGCTCCCCCGGGTTATCAGGCAGACAGGGGCACCTCCAGCCAGCAGTGGGGAAGCCAGGCCACAGAAAGCCTCCGGTAACCGCATGGCTGCTCCACAGCCTGCCACGGGGCACGCGGCCTGGTTCCCATCAAGAGAACATCCAGCGTTAAATAAATAGCCTGTGTGCTTCTGAAGTCTTTGGCAGCTGGCTTCTGCAGATAAGAATTTCCTTTGTACTGTATTTTTGGGGAAATGAGATGAAACTGCCAGCAGCTGGATTCCCGGAGAGGCGTTCACCGGGTCTCCTAACACGTGGAGGCGGCCGGCAGGAGGACAAGCTCCCCCCCATTAGGTCTGCCAGGAGCTTGTCTCCTGCTGTGGGGGAGTCAGAGTGAACGGTACGGGAATTTAAGAAGCTGACGATAAACCCAAACCAGGAGGAGGCAATCATTTGAGACCTTCTCTGAACTTCCATCCCCCTACGGCCTTGCTGGTGTCATCCTCCCTGCACCCCCTTTCCCCGGCAGGAGCCCCAGCACCGACCCCCTGACCACCGTGCCTTCAACACGCCTGGAAACCCAATTTCTGATGGCCAGGCAGTGCTGATGTTCTCCTGGTCTTGGCCCATCAATGCCACCGGCCAGCCGTAGTCTTTCCCTAGCTCTCTTGGGACTGCCTCAGTCATAGACAGAAGCCTCAAACACAATAATTTACTTGAACTGGAAAATAAAAAAAAATATTTTTCCCATCTTCCAGTTCTGAGACCACTGAGGTGAGGACCCAGGAAACCATCACACTACTTCACTATGGAAATTTCTGCAATCGATCTGTCCCAGAATAAATTATTCCATGTAGTTGTAAATAACACGAAACCCATTGCAAGCAACGGGACTGGGGAAGTGATAAGATAAATGTGATAGACCTGACGTATGGTCACCAAATGATAAAAAATAAAGAATGTTTCAAAATAACCCCCCCCAAAGTAAGGCTATTTAAAAAAAAAGATTTTGGCATATCTACCTTTCAGTGGGCAAATCCTGACCTGATGTGTACTTCACATACAGCTTTCTGAAGTTCAAAGGGTGAGATTCATCCCCTGATTAGATTTCGCACATGTGGATACAGATTGCGTTACACTTCAAGGGGAATTTCTTTTTTATGTTGCGTCCAGATCACACTTGTATTAAATAAAGATCGCATTTGCTCCCCAGAAAATCACGGTATAGACCTAGGCCCAGAAATAAGAACAATTAGTGAGCGTCTGGTCAAAGAAAATGAAGGCTGTAAGGTAGCCTAATGCTATTAGGGATAAAGTGAAATTTATGAGGTGTGGCAGCTCTGCATAAATCCATCCCGATGCCTGCAGGCCTGGCCACTGCCACGTGCGTTTGGTTGTGGTTGTTTTCCACTGCTGGTGGCGATGCCCAAGGCAGAATATTGCCGTTCTGCGCCCCGGCACGGCACCTGGGTGACCAGAGAGAGTGGGGCCGGGGTCAGCCCCGCAGCCTGGGGCCACCTCCCCGGCTCGGGGAGCAGGGGCTGCCACAGCCGTGCTTCACCCCTGCCTCTCT